GGAGTTAGAACAAACAACAAAGGTTGCCACGTGAAGCGGGCCTTTTGGAAAGGAGTACGGGAAAGGAACTATCGTTGTCCTATCTCGTGGTGGCTGTTTGGTTCCACACCACTCCCTGTTCCGTCCCTTCTCCGAGTTAGCTCACCATTAACCTCAACTCCACCTCGATTCCTAAGATCAAATTAGACTTTGCTCAAGTTCAAATAAAAATATTTATTATTTAAACAAGAATTTTCAGTATTCAATTGTGGTTGGGCAAAAAAGGCAGTATATTGTTTTACAATCCGATATTACTCGGGTCTTTAGTATTTGGAACCAAACTAAAAATTGGGTTTTCTTTCCAAATTTTTCATGAATTCAATTCTAATTTCAACCTTAATTAAACTTTATTTTAATCTAAACTTTAAAACAAAGAATTGGGCAACATAAATAGTACTCGAGCCGAATGCTCTAGCCCGCACAAGTTATACCCCTGAGTGACTCATTTTTCTACATCTCGAATCTTTTTGGTAATGAAAATAACCCATGTACAGTACAGCTAGAAGATGCCATTGAAATTGGATACAAAGCAACAAGCTAAATTTCAAAGCAAAAACGAAATGGTTTTTTTCTTTTTGGTTTTTTTTCGGTGGGGGTATGTCTAATTAAGAATTATCCTTCTCTACACCCAACCTTCCTTATTAAAATATCTAGCATATGTTGTTAAATTCTCGAACAATATACCAACTCTAAGTCTCTAACACTACCTCTAGATAATTCTACTAATTTTTTTTTTTAATACAGAGTGTTCAAATTTACACTAACTATTCCATCAACTTCAGCGATTAGCCATCGTGACTCGAGTAAGTTGGTCTAGAGCATATCTCCAAATAGACAAGGGTGGCTAACTTTTAGAGTGTGTGGGAATAGATGAACCTGAGACCTTTAGGTTATCAAAAGACAAGTTCAACCATTGGACCATCCTAAGGGTTAATTGTACTACTTAATAAACTACAAAAGAAGATTTGTAACTCTATGGTACATTTTAAGTCCCTAAAGAGTTTTTTTTTCTTTTTTTTTTTTTTTAGTCTAACTGTCAGAGGTATTCAGACCAACTTATATGCAATTCGACTAATCTCCTCCCTTCTCCGGTTCGGTGAAAAACTGTCTTCTACTCCGAAATTAATGTATTTATGAGCATTCTTACGTTAAGGATGACCTTTAATTTGGCATTCCCACATGAATACAATTTCTATATCTAACTTAGTCGAGTTGAAACAACGGAGACACGAGTTCACTCTAAATTAACACGTGTAAATAAATTAGATCAAATTTTTAGGTCACAATAATATTACTTTAACGGTGACATAGCAATGAACAAAATGTTGCGTGGGAACTTGCAAGATACCACATTTTTGCAGATTTGTATGGTAGTGTTTATAATATCATAGGAAGAATGTTGGCAGAACATTTATGAGGGACAAATGTGTAGGTATTTCTATATTGCACAACCATCCAAATCTCCAAATATAAACTAAAACCAAGAACAACAACAAAAACACTCTTACAGAAGAATCCATTACGTTGAAAGCTCTGTCGATCCGAAATGGATTGTAGCTTTTATTCGTCTGAATGATTTTAACCCGGTGGGCCATCTTGTTTTTTCTGGTGGAAGTTTTTGGTGGCGTTAACCTCAATCCATAGTAAAATACAAGAGCTTCAAATATGTCATGACGTTGGCATTTTTTATGATTGAAATAAGTTAAATTAACGGCTAGGATTGTTTATAATTAATTTGATGACCTCAAGTATTGTGTGATTATTTTACTCGTTTATTTAGAAGCTAATATTTATATAATAAAGTACAATACAATTCAAATTTCAAAAGATAAATAAAATAATTTTTGTTTTTCGCGGTTGAGATTTCTTTAAATTTTACTTTAAGTTAATCTGATGACTAATATTAACAATCTAAATTTAATAGGAAAAATAGGACTTTAAAAGTGTGTTTAGAGTGATTTTTTAAAAGTGTTTTTAATATTTATAACTTCTCATAAGCATTTTAAAAAAAAATAAGTGTTTGAAAATCGCTCCGCCAACATCTCTACCACTACCGCCCCATCACTACCATCACCGTCACCCCACCACCACAACTACCACCACCACCACTATCGCCACCCTACCACACCCATCGCCCCATTAACACTGTCATCACCACCACTATTGTCACCCCATCATCACTTCTTCTACAACAACAACCACCACCATCACCACTGTCGCCACCCCACCACCACCCCATTAGTGCCCCACCATCACCACCACTGCGGCCACCTTACCACTACCGCCACGATCCCATTATCAACCCCATTACCCCCACCACCATCATCACCATTGTCATCCACGGCTGCCACCATCACAATTGATCGTCATCATCCATAACAACTATCAGTATTGTCTCCCACCATTACCACTGTCGCCACCATCACTATCACTGCTCGCCTCCATTACAACCGATGTTTAAATTCATTTCTCTCTTATCTATTTTTATAATTTAATCTTGGGTGTAAATACAAATATATTTATTGTTGACTATTTTTTTTATTACTCTGTGTCTAAAGATACGGGAAATAACTAGTAATTTTATAATAGAGGTGAAGGAGTGACTTAGTGATAAAAACTCATTCCCATCGATATGTGGGTTTAAATATCACCCCTCACCTCAAAAGATTAAAAAAAACATAATTTCATAATAGAGATAATTTCACGAGATATAGAATGCATATGAGTGGACCGGGGAGAGGGTGGGAGAGTGGTCTTCACCCCGTACCCACTTAAAAAAAATGTGTCCACTCTTGATCCACCCCCCGATTAGCGGACAAATTTTAATCTTCATCTCCACCCTACGAGCAAATTCTGATCCCTACCCCTGCCACCAATCTTTGCCTTCACCTCCTCTCCCCCTCCTTTATAATTAATTTTTTTGATTTTAAAAAAAAAAATTAAAAATCATAACAATTAAAGTACAGGTTGTATCATTGTATGCTTGTATCACATGATATGACCAAAACAAAGACAGAGAAATAAGTTAACAACATAATCCTTGCATAATTAAGCAAAAATAACAACAATAATAAAAATATATATTTATGTCTCTCTTTGCGTCTTGATTCTCTTGGATTAGGGCTAAGGATTTCTAAATATATATATACATAAATTAGTTATTTTTCTTTCTTGAAGGCACAAAGTAATAAAAAAAATTGTTAACAATAAACATATTTGTATTTACACCCAAAATCAAATCATAAACATATATGAGAAAAAAAAATTTAAGCACCGATTGTAGTGGAGGTGAGTAGTGGTAGTGGTGGTGGTGGGAGATGATAATGATTGTGGTGGGAAATGATGATGGTTGTAGTGGGTAGAGACAACCATTAGTGGCGGCAACGATGGTGGTGGTGGTACAGGTGATGGTGGGACAGTGACGATGGTGATAGGGTGACGGCGGTGGTGGTAATGGTGGTAGTGGTGGGGGATAGTGGGGTGGGGTGGTGATGGTGATGATGGTGGTGGGGGTGATGGTAGTAGGGATAAGGGTGGTGGGACAATGAGGGTGGCGATAATAATGGTGGTGGTTATGAAAAAGGTGGTGGTGGGGTGGCGACGATGATGGTGGTGGTATGGGGGTAGTGGTAGCGTTGGGTGATGGGTGTGGTGATAGTGGGGTGGCAGCAGCAGTGGTGGTGGTAGGGTAGCGATGATTGTGATAATGGAGCAATAGGGCTGGTGGTAGTGGTGGTGATAAGATAGTTGAAAACACAATTTTTTTTTTTTAAAGTACTCATGAAAAGTTATAAGTTTTAAAAACACTTTTAAAAAGTTATCTCAAATATATTCTTACGAGCCTATTTTTTTTATTAAATTCAGAGTGTTAATATATATATATATATATTGGGGAAGGATAAAGGAGTTTGAATCTTTGACCTCAAGAACGCAAAGTTTTCATAAGGTAAAAAGTACTATTAGACAAAAGTCTCATTGATTAATATTAACTAATGGATTAATTTTAAAATAAAATTTAAAGGGATCTCAACCGCGAAAAACAAAAGTCATTTTATTTATCTTTTGAGATTTAAATTGTATTGTACTTTATTATATAAATATAGAATCTAACAAGTTTAACGAAACAGGACAGATACGAGGAGGGGATAAGTTTTGGTCCACCTCCGCATCTATCCTCATACGGATTTATATGGATATCCTCGTGTATATTCATCATTCAATACGTATTATTCATCTTAGTCCAAACGAAACAAATTTGGACGAATTCCTATTTTTTTCCAATTCAAACGAAACGAGTTTAGACAAATTATCATTTTTTTCCGGTCTATTATCATCCCTACATACACATTTACAGGTTGTGATATAGCTTTTAAGACTTGTTTCTGCCATAATTTGCTCTATTTTGTTCAAAAAATTGATTAGAGAAAGTTACACTCCTCAGTGTATTTTTCGGGTTTTTTGATTAAGCACTGTTATTAGGACATAATTTGAAGACATAATGAATTGTCACCAATAATATGATAATCAATTCATTTAATGTTATAATGGGATCCATCATTAAATACATTTCACTATTATTTCATTGGTGACAACTTATTATGTCCTCAAATTATGTTCTAATAGCATTAGTGCTCTCTCTCTTATCTTTTAGGAGACAATATATCATTATATTGTGCAAATGCGCGCACACACACCACACACTTAAAACCGTACAATCTCACACACACAGGATGGGTTGGGGCATTGTAGGACCTTCGGAATGGGTTGTTGAGGTGCTACTCGACCATGATTACACAATCCCCCTCCCCCCCTTCCTCTCCCTCAAAACACCAACACCACCATAAAAAAATAAAATAAAATAAAAGGAAGAAAAAGAGAAAGCGATCAACAAAATTTAGATGACAAAATTAGTCCTTTCAATATTAGATGAGGTCGCTTGACGCCCTATTATGTTTGGCAATTATAAGCAGAGAGAGAACCAAAGAAACTTATAAAATTGTCTCGTGTAGCGTTTTATTCATTTGTTCGTTCTATCATCTCTTCTACCTTTCACTTAAACTCCTGATTAACGACACCCATTAAGAGTAAAAACCGGCCTTCGATCTCTTTCGTTTATACCCCTGTGCTTCCTCCAAAACCTGGCAAAAACAAACCTTTGTATTGTATCCCTTCTCTCCCCCCTGCTTTCTCTCTCCCTTTCTCATGTGTCGTTGTAATCAGAATTCAGAAAAGATACTATATAACAAGCTCAGCAGTCAGCACCAGTTGAAACGACAACTATTTACGAGACTTCAGCTGGTTTGTGTTGAAGCCAGTTTGAGAAACTTTCAAGGGTATTCATGTCAGCCCTGTAATGCTTCTGTGTAAACTCAAGTAGTGTCGGCCATGTGAAGTCTGGATACATTCTTGGGTTCTTAGTGTCCACCAATTCGGTTGGTGGGCTCACTACCTTATCTTTCTTTGGGCACAAAAAGAAAGCAAGAGATTTCCTTGGAGTTTTGTTGTTTACCACAGCCCGGTGCAAACAACTTTTGTATGTTCCATTTGAAAGAGCCTGAAAACAAACCCCACAAAACTTCATGACCATTTTGAAAATTTTAACTTTTTACAGACAGCAAATCTCTTAAAACATACATATGTAAGTTTATCAATCTTACCATGAATGTGTCGCCTATGTTAACAACAAAGGCGTTGAAATTTGGACGAATGGACCTCCATTCATTGTCTACGAACACTTGAAGACCACCAACAGTGTCTTGGTGAAGGATGGTTAGAGATGTTGGATCACAATGAGGCCCTGTTCCTAGAGTGAGGTCTGGTTTTTGACATCTTGGATAGTAGTTGAGTCTCATTATCGAATCATTTTCTTCGAAGAACTCCTTAAAGTGGGCTCCGCTTACACCAAGGCTTATCCCCAAGAGCTCCATGATTCCAAGAGAAAGGGTACTCATGGCATTGCAGTAGTCCTGGTAAACTCTCCTACATGCAAGAAAAATGGAATTCAAATCAGACTAAAGCAAAGAAAATTTACAATAACACATTCTACAGCACAAGGCTTTTGGCCCCACGAGTCTAGGCTCACAAGATGATTAGATGTAAGTCTTACTCTTACCCTACAGTTGATAGAAAGTAGAAACAAATCAAATGGCAATGGTTAGGTACCCGAATTGGATAAAATCTTCTCCCATTGTGTTCCGGAGATAGTCTTCAACAATATTGGATGAGTTTCTATCTGCACAATATCTGAAAGAAAGTGTTTCTTTCCATGGCAGCTTGGAGGTGAACCTTCCAGTGAAGCTACTAGCGTATCCACAATGCTCACCAATCTTCCTCTTAGCCCTCTGTTTCCCACAAAGAGGCAGCTCAAAGAACAAGTCCATAAAACGATGAGCATCAGATATGAGATTGGCATCGACACCATGATTGACTACAAGAAAGAAACCATGCTTTCGACACGCCTCGCCAACAAGCCTTGATGCTTCCATGGCCGCCACAGGGTCGCCGGAGAGGAAGCCTCCTATGTCTATGAGTGGAACTGGAAGTTCTAGTGTGTTGGCACTAGGCTTCTCATGGTCAGGCCATATGAACTGTGTGGGTATGTCTGATTCGTGTTGAAGCACAGAGGCATCAAAAACTAAAGGTTTTTGCTCTTGAATATCTTTGTGTTCATCTTTGGGCAATGGAGGCATGGTGGTCTTTTTTGATATAACACCTTCAATGGCCATTGCATTTAAGTTTTTCTGAAGCCAAAAAAAGATGAGAGAGGGGACTATAAGGGAGAGTTTTAAGGGGGAGGGAGGGAGAGAGGTAAGTTTGAGAGGTGTGATGAAAGAAAAGCCAAAGCCGTTCATAGGGGAAATCGGTGAATGAAAATTGGAATCTTATAGGTGCCTCTCTAATGTCTCTAAAACGCACAGGTACAAAAAGGATTATTTGCAAGGAAGGCCCTCCAAATTACTTTATTACAAATAGGGGCTTGATGATGGACAAATTAGAGAACAGTCCACACTGTTGTTTTTTCTATTGTTGGCAGGAAAGCGTTTCCCAATGGTGTTTTGGCATTTTCCTTCGGTATAATGGTGGGTATCAATCGTGGCCTGTAATTTTTAGTCATTTTTTTTTTTTTTGGGTCGTATTATTTTTGTCTGTGTTGTATTTATTATTCATTAATTGTGTTATTCATGAATATTTTTTTTTTGACACATTTATCATTCATATCAATTGATCATGTTATTTTGACTGTGTTAGGTTGGGTCAAATTCGTGTCAATGGGTAAAATTAACACCCCTCTACAGGGTTTGTATCTCTCATAAATTTTAATTAACAGGAGAAAATTTTTAATACATGACACTGTCAGATAATGTATATTACCTGTAAAATATTATACATTCTTAATGAATGACTATTACCTTATCACTTTATTAGAATATTTTTTCGAAAAAGTTTACTTATGTGCCCCACAAACTAGTGTTGTGTTAACTTTTTATTGACTGTATGTATGTATCACTTAGCACTGTCATGAAGTGTGTATAATTCACTGATTTTTCAAACAAATATTTACTTAAACCAATTTTGTATAAATAATCATCATAAATCATACGTATCAATTAAATTTATACATTATATGGCCAAAATTCAAACTGATGACTAAGGTTTTCGTGTGTGCCTATCAAAGAATTTGTTGGGCAAGTCTGAATATTGGCGGGCCCAAGCCCTTGTTACCATTGTAAAAGCCAGTCCCAGGTATCCAGGTAAGGGGGCTTGCGTTATAGAATTGAATCTCCCATACCCACGATTGTTGATGGCGAGCGGGCCGATCATTAAACTAATTCGTACAAGTTCTGAAGCATAACTCTTTACTAGGACCGATCTACCATCAGTTTTTTTTTTTTTTTTTGGGTCAGGCACAATTACAGGAGGGAGACAAAAAGATTCGAATCCGTGACTTTAAGATTCAACAACAAGAGCAATAATCATTAAGCTAACCGTTAGTTTCAATCTACCATGAGTTGAACTAGGCAAAATATGGTGAATATTTTCACCCTCAAGTACGAGGAATGATTTGTGATTCATCTCTCAAACTAGCACTTGAGATGGACATCATGCCTTGCCAGAGGAAAAAACCTCTGATAATAACTTTGATATAGAATGGACAATTTGTGAGAAACACATAAGCATCAATGTCGATCTCTAGTGTTACATGTATCACCCAGCTTCCTTCTTTTTCCATGACTATGCAGGTACTTCAAATAATCCTTATATTTTTACATCATAACGAAAATTACCATATCATGGATTAAGTTACAACTCAATATAATCAAGTTAGGATCAACAAAGATTGATCTCGCCTTTGCGGGATTAATACTCAGACATCATTGGTTTGTAACTTTTAACATTATTGTCTCATAAATGGTATTCAGTCAAGTCATTGCAAGATGAGATTTTTCAGCTACTATAACAGGAGTTCAATAGAATAAAAGATATGTTCCAGCAGCGACGAAGCAACATGAGCCCTACTTACAGTGGGACACAAACAGTGACAAGGCGGAATATATTATAGGACTCCATCTAGATAGAATTGGACGGCACAGCATCACTCAGAATTTGAAATGGTCAAATATACGCGGTTGATCCTCCGGTGTAGAGAAATTATTTTCGTAATTCGAACTTTTGACACAAGGATCAATCGAACTTTGCTGTTACGTCAAGTCCCACAATGTCATTTTATCTTCTAGAGAAACGGACAGCAGCCAAATAACAGGGGATTATACTACCATGACTCATGAAAATAACTGACTCTGACCAAAAGAGCCCACAGAGTTTTGTAGTTGAACTGTCAGCATCCATATGAACTACCACTTCTAGTTCAATGGTAAGGTGTAAGAAATGACTACTTAATCAAGATGTGGGTGTTGGGAATGTACCATGCAATGTACAGGGGAAGCTCTGTGTCTGTGTGTGTGTGGGAGTGAGTGAGAGAGAGAGAGGGGGCCCAAGAATTATTGTTCTACAGAAAGAATCTTGAATGCCCAAGGATTAATATTAGGAAAATGCAAAGCACAATGGGAAAATAAATCAACAAAACATTGTTCACTGTCAAATGCCATGCTTATATAATCAAAATTCCTTGCAATAATAGCCAGTACGACTGTTTTACTGAGTCAAACTGGGGAAAGACCATGATCTGAAAATTATACAATATACATATATAACTAACCAATCAGAAATCCTAATTTGATTCTTTTCTGTTCTCTGATCACTTACCAAAAATTAATATAATATTAAAGAAATCACTTCTACTTTCTATTTTTAGAACAACTTCAACTTTTGTCTTAGGAAGAAATAACATGGCTCAGTACACAAATGCATGTGTGTAGGTGTTGTGGAGAGAGAGAAGTGGGAATTACTGTGCTAAGTACATTCTGAATTGACAGAGTCATTTGCTAATATGGGCATAATGGTGGAACCAAACTATGAATCCACAAAGGAGTTTATTAAAAAGTCAACTTCTCGTGATGATGTGATTTTTTGTGCCCATTCTGAAAAACACAAATCACGTCCTCTTTCTAACAATCTCATTAAGTAGCTGGGTTTATGAATTTTAAGGCAAATGTCATTCGGAGTAGACAATTTACTTTCTTAAAGTCATCTTACAAACCCCACCATCACCCTTCTAAAATTATATGAAGTTCCTACAATCCTCAAAAAGAAAGACTAACAGGCAAACAACAAAACCAATACATGTGCGCACAGACATGCACGTGTGTGTGTGTGTGTGTGAATGCATGATTTAAGATCAGTGAGAATAAGAGGGTAGAAGACAAGGAATGGACCACCAGGGTCAAGCAATGGGGGCAACTAGCAGGCTGGTGGGTTGTCACAACTTCACCATCCTATATTCCCATTCGAGTTCTCCAAAAAACAGATCACCTGATATTTCTAGATCAGACTAAGTTGGATTTTCATGGCATGAATAGCAAGTGTGTAATATGTTGTGGACATATATAGTTGACATTCTTCCATTGTCCACTACGAGATTATGATCTTTTTCCCATATGTTTTTGCCATTATCTGGTGGAGGGTCCGGGGGAGAACACAGATTTTTTATGAGAAAAATGAACCATAAAATTCCAACCAATGTGGATTTTGGCTTTAAGGGGGGAAAAAGATTGGTTTGACAGAAATGACGTCAATGAAGATTAAAGGCATTGGCAACAGAAACGTAACTCAAACTGAGCTGGTCGTAATCACCACAATATGCTGTCTTTTTTTCCATTAGGTGACCATGAACATAACAAAAACTCGACATTCTTCCTAGACTGCAGGGTATACAAAATGTACTTACGCCAACTATAATGGGTCTATGATGGATCTAGGGGCGTACACACGCAATTGCTTTGGGGTAATCCACCTTATTATAGTATTATTAGCTATAAATATTCTCCAAGTGTAAAAGTTTGTCCCTTGCCGACACTTTTGTCCTCTCTAGACTAAATTCTTAAATTCGTTCTTGCATGCAAAAAAAAAAAAAAAACTCCTCAGTATCATGCAAATTAAGAAGGGGTAAACAAGTCACGCAGCTTGCTGAGTTTTTTCTCATCTCTTCTAATCTTTCTTTCGTAAGTTTCTCCTGGTTTCCGAAGATGAAGCAACTCAAGAACTAGATAGGCCAGAATAGAAATAATGGTGGAACCATTCTTGACACAAGAAGACTGAACCTTATCGCAATAAAAGGCAACTATTTCAAGCAAAATTTTGTTGGAGATCTCATGATTCTATGTTTTGGAAAGATAACAAGTACACGACAAATCCTTAATCAACCATTTTCAAACGCAAAATCATGACTCTCAAATAATTACCCATTATTTCCAAAATGGCTCAGATAATTTCAGGATTTGAAAGTATCACCCAATCCCTAATTTTTTCAGTACAAGACAAGCTTAGGTGGGAAGGAGAAGGGAACATGAAGGTCCATCACCAGAGGCAACTAACATGATGGTGGAGTGGTCACAATGTCATGCAGACAAAAAGGTGGGCCAAATGAGTTCTCAGAAGAACAAATCCCATGAAACTAACAGACCCAGCTAAAGTGGATCTCTATATAAAACTATACTTAAAGAGGCTGAGTGTGTGACATTAAGGACAAAAACAGTTTCTTCTCCTCTTGATCCACCAAAAGATCACTTACTTTTCTCTCTCGACTGTGCCATTATGTATTGGTGGGTCAGTTTAAGGGATTTAGATCTTGCTCAAAATGGGGAGCAAAGACAATCACATTTGATTTTGGTTTTGGATTTTCTGGGGAAAAAAAATGGGCTAGGTAGAAATTGTCTCCAAGTATGTTCTCTGTGCTATGGAAGTACCATAGAATCTGGTGTGATCTTAATTTGACACAACACCGAATCCATCCATTTCACAGAAGATGAAAACCCCACTACATTTTTTCCTGTGCATAATTTGGCCTTAACACTGGAACACCAGATCAAATACATGTTCTCTTTGCCATGGAAACACCATCAAACCTGGTCCAATCTTGGTGTAAATACATCCTATTAAGGGAACATGATATGGCAAAGAACCTGCTCAAATTTACAAGCCAAACTCAAGCCCCAGACCCTACACATGTTCTCTTTTTCCAGGGAAATACCATTGAACTTGGTCTGTCTTTTTCTTTTCTTTTTGTTGACATGACCTGATCCATTGCAGTTTCACCAGAGTCGTCCTCATGGAGAACGGATAATCTATAAGCATTGCATAATCACTAAAGCACCAGGCTCCACTATATTTGGTATTGCTTCTTCCTTCGTAGCTGACTCCACTGCCTCACTAAAATCTCTCTAAATCCAACTCAAGGAAATTCAAGTATATATTTTCAATACATGAATGGACTCAAACAACTTAACTTCAAGCGGGTAAAAATCATCATTGCATTTTGCAGTAGGCATGTTTCACTCATATTACATATACATCCTTATCTTAGTGTTTTGATCTTCTTATATTCTCTGTCTTTTCTATATATATCCCATGGAATCAAAGTTTCAGAAAAAAAAAAAACAAAAACAATTGTGAGACTCAGATCTCAATTACACTGAATAGAAGGCAGTGTGGGCTCTCTCCAAGTGTGTGAATAAGCAACTAGACACTGTCACTTCTGAGAAAAGTAAACCTGTATATTTTATAACAGATGAATGATATAAAGTGGATGGGCTCTCTCCAAGTGTGTGAATGGGCATGCAGTCTAGAAGCAACTAAACAATGCCACTTCTGAGAAAAGTAAACCTGTATATTCTATAAGAGATGAATGATATAAAGTGGACACTTGAAGGACAATTAATTGTGGGTGCATGCTGCGCCAAGAAGTCACTTGGGAGATGTTGGAGAAGAGGACAACCTGTTGGCTTGCATTTGAGAAGTTGAGGAATTATATGACAACTTGTATGACAAATTTTTTTCCGGAGCTGGTGGTTGCTCGTCCTAGTTGTACATTTGGCTTTATACCATTAGAGGATTTTGATCATGGAATCTATGATTCGCCAGAATTGAACAGGTGAGATGACACTAAAACATTAGGGAAATGTCCAGAAAGTCCACAAGAGCACCACCATGTCATGCCCTCAGAGCAAACCACCATGGTCAGGTATGAGGTTAGGGCATACACGAGTGAGATGTGTCCTACATGGATGGCCAAAGAGGGGACAGAACACCAAGCAAGGGATATTGTTCCATTAGAATTCTGTAAAATCATTCTTGAAGCCAAGGCTTGGCATTTCTCATTCGTACAAGTTTACCTTGACTTCTGGGAGAGTAGAGCAGTATTGGTGGGGATAAAACCTAACCTTACACTTGTTTCATTTTCATAGAATGAAATCATGAGCCCAAAGTGAACTGGAATATTCAATATGCAGGCAGAGAGTTCCAAAACCCGGAAAGAATTCGAGTAAAAGAATTCCAGTTTGATCTAATTCGGACAGTATTTAGGATAGGATCTCACGGTGTTAGCTCCTGAAACTACCTAACCATAAAAAAATCAACTCAAATTTCAAATCAATTATTAAAGCTAAATTTCAACCAGAGTTCAACCCAAGTACAGAAATTTAAGCACATGCAGTACTCGAGTTGAAAGAGTTGAGTTTAACTTGAGTTTGGGTTGAGGATTTTACAATGGCATTGTGCTGAAGTTGGCCCGGAGTTGCAGTCCTGGCAGAAGAGTTTCTATAATTGGGGTAAGGGGAATTCTAAATAGAGTGGAAATCTGATATTGATACAGATATCTATTGATTCTTCATAAGAACAGCTGAAAAGATTTGACAAAAATAAGCCAGGAGCTCTCCTGGCTTAAATAGATTTGAAAGGAACTATGAGCAGTAAATGAACAGCGCCAACTGAAGATGCAATTTGCACTTTTCTTTGTTATGTTTGTCGAAAGAATGCATGGCACAAAATGCCTTGGCGCTGCTGTTAAAGGCCATTGTCCACGTTTAACTAGCAGCAAATTCACCGCAAACATTAAGCTGGGGTGAAACTTTGGACCAGTTGGATGAGTTGAGAGGTCAACCCAAACACGAATATAGCCCAAACCTTCAACCCAGATAATGTTCGTGCTTAAATTTTGGAACTCAATTCCAAGCTGAAATTCAAGTTTAATTTTCAGGTTAAGCCTGGATCCACTAATGCAAGTTGGGTCCATGTTGGATCCCAAAAAACAGAGCCCCAACTCAAATGTCTGAATGTAAATCGAATTGCATTTTTTGGTCCAAACCCAAAGTATTGAATATTTCAAATTACCAACGAGCCTTTGGTCCAATAGTACTCTTTTGCTTGTGAAGGCTTTGTCTTATGGAGATCAAGGATTCACATCCTCCTCCCCCCTCCCTCCCTAAAAAAAAAAAAAGAATAATATTTCGAGCTGACCCGCCCATGTCGTATCCTGACATCAGGAATACGATGCTTACTGGATGTTCTTCAACTTTGTAAATTTGGGATAGAAATGTGAATGAGAGTGACAAAGTACGTTCATGTTTTGGATCCAGAACCAATAATAGAAGCAGCATTAGATTATTATCATTAAAAGATGGATAATTTATTTTCCATAGACAAGTTATCCATATTACACATTGTGTTAATTATTGTTCCTCAGAGCAAGATCGCTAATCTACAATCGGAACCAAAATGGAAAGAATACTACAATAAACATTCAATAGCAAAGACGAAATACTCAACCTGCTACAACTTTACTATTGCTGAAGCCTCCTTGCCGTGAGTAATATATAGAAAATCTATGTGATGACCGTAGGTTTCTCCCTTCCTGTGAAGTCTTTCAGCTTTGAAACAGACAGCGCCAGATCTAAGAACATGAAATGATAATTTTACAAACAATGAAAATTTGTTGTAAGCTACTGAAAATAAATATGGACTAACCTATCAATGGTTTTAGTGCAGTTTGGGCATCCATTTCATGTTTTGAGACATCAGGCTCAAACTGTTCAATGTACATTCTGACGGTCGCACCTGCCGAACCAGTTCCCTGTAAAATGTAGAACTCACTTATTCCAGATACTTTTTTAAATGCACCCATAAAAAATAAAAACACATGAAAAATGAAAAAGAGGAGAAACAAAATAGGTTGATGCAGACCGATAAACGAAATATGATCCTTGATCCATCAGTGAAAACAAACCGGACACCTTGTTTTGATGCCACACTTCCATCCACCTGAGAACATGTATCAGATTCGAGTCATCCAAACCAGATAGCGATTGCTCAAGCTTGTGTCTTTATCAGGAAAACATGCCAACAAAAATGTGAGATTGTGAAAAGAGCAACAACTCACAGGATCAGTATAGGTGAAGTCATCGGCAAATTGAAGGGCATAATTTCCTACGATGCCAAATGTATAGCATCTAAAAATATTAGAAAGGATTGTAGTATATTGATTAATCTGGAGAAAGTATGACATCAAACTTACCATGCTTGTCACCTGCCTTGCTCTTTGAAACCAAATCTCTTAGATACTCTATCATTTTATTAGCTCCTTCAGATTCACATTCCTGAAATACAAATTAATATCAGGATATTAACCTTAAAAGGCACAGCAACTAGCCCAGTTTGCAGTGATTTACAAGATGTAACAGCAAAATTTGAGTAAAAATAGGTGAGAATTCATCACAAAATACAGCTTACCTCGTAATCATATCTAGAAAAGAAGTTCCTTCCGTAGGTGGCCCAATACTCCTTTACAACATCAGATACAGAAACCAATTTCTCCCCTGGTTTCTTGTCCTTGTTTCTATATGCAATTATTGAAAGCCATGCTAGGACAGCCCTGACAATTGGAAATGTGTAAGCCATCATACATGGATTCAGCAAGTTATGGTGACACAAAGAAAGCATGGAAATATTTTATCTAAAGAAGCAAAGATAATTTTTTTTTTTTTGGGAGGGGGGAAGGGAAAAAGGGAGGGGGGACTTAAACCCTTGACCTTAAGAAGGCAAAGCCTTTACAAGATAAGGAGTATCATTGGACCAAAGGCCCTTGGTTAAAGAAGCAAAGATAATGAATGGCTTGAAGCATCTTTTTCTAGCCTGGTACACATTCAGAAATACCCTAAAAAGAAAGGGTCAAAGCCACCCAAACTTAAGTTGGTAGGGAAAAAATAGAATTAGACAGCAACAACAAATCTGTGGGACTGTGCATCTAAGTATACAAAACTGTAATTATCTCAAAAACTAGGCATCTGTTAGGGACCATAATGCCAAAGACGCTGTAGTGTTTAACAAAACCAAGGGGAAACGAATTCAAAAAATTTCTTTATGTGGTCCTTCTGTGAGCAGTTAATATATCTACAGAAAGAGGAAAAATATATTCATTGTCTATGAAAAAAGAGATTCAGAGAAAAACAGAAAAAAAATGCAAATGTAGACATATACCATATGCCATCTTTCTCACGAATATGGTCAGAACCTGTTCCAAAACTTTCTTCTCCACAAATTGACAACTTTCCAGCATCCATTAGATTCCCAAAGAATTTCCAACCTGTGGGAACCTGAACCAATGAATTACCTTTTTAAGAACGTAGTTTGTCACCAAACATCTTTACGAAGAACATGAGACATCAAGTTGCAAGGTAATCAGTCAAGAAATAATTTATCCAAGTATATAGACCTCAAAAAAAGGAAGATTCAACTTTTGAGCAACACGATCAAGAGCACCACTTGTTGGCATAGATCGAGCTAAACCCTACAAAATTGCAAGCATGATCCATTTTTGGGGGTTCACAGATAAACTAATTGAAAGAAAAATCTGCAAAACTGTTCTACCTTGGGACCACTCTGAAAGTATGGAATAGCTTCTTGTGCATTGGCCGCGATAATGGCAACAGAATCTGAAGGAGTAACAAAAAATCCTCTACCAAGAATCATGTTTCTATCACCATCTCCTGGATAAAAAAAAAGTGATGACAGAATGAGAACTATGGTTCGACAAAACAGACCCCCAATACTAGAACTGCTAAAAGGTAAGGGAACACTGTAGACAGCGTAGAAAGGACAGAAGTATAGAACACTTGAATTGTTAACACGTTTAAACTTTAAACACAATTGATTCGCCACATGGTATTGCAAAGCATCGAACACACCTTTACTAGTCTAGTAGCATATATTCCTTTTTTCTTTCACTTATGTTCTTTCCCCTTTCTTTCTAAGTTTAGGAGTGCAGCTAAGATATGAACTAACAAGACAATTATTTGTTGTTCAGCCTCACAAATTTTGTATTTGGACTGAGATCAACTCCAGCTTGAGCTTCATGGAACATTGAACTTCAGTACAACTCAGCCAGTCTTGTTTAAAACCTTGGTTCATATAGGCTAGCACACAGCTGTTATATTCAGGAGCCTTAATGAACTTGTTCATTATCCCGTGTTAGAGCTTATGTAAGGCCTCTCAAGCTAGTAAATGAACTTTGCAGCCCCTACACTCGTTGCCAATTGGTCTTGAGTGGGATGCTTTAACCTGAGTGGAGTGCCCGGATGAAGTCTCAATCATTGTTCCCAGTTTCGATAGGAAAGTATGTTAACTATATGTAAAATTTGTGTGTTGGTCGCTCAATGAACAAACCAGACTTGCATGTGAGTGGAGTGCGTATACAAGCTAATATAAGCCTTGTGGGTCTCTCAAGTCACAGCCAATTGGTTCTGAATTGATACTTTAACACCAGCACAGCCATTTATTTCAGCACTAAAACTAAACATCCCAACTCGTAGGGATGGATATTTACAATAGCAACATCCCGTAAATCTTTTACATCTTACTAACTTCATATTACTTTCCAACTTCCCCTTAATGAGTTTCATCTAGGCAAGTTCCAAAAGAACCTGTGCAACCAAACATGAATCTTGAGTTTCAGCTTTGCTTGTCAAGTTAGTCAACAAACATACATGAACTAAGTAACTAGACACCCTCATGCCACTCATGAACTGTATGTCATCCAGGCCAAACATTTTGTGAACACCAATGCTCTAGAGTTCACAGTGGCAAGCAGTCATGAAAAGAATGTGTAGCATATACTTAGCTGGCATGACAATGTCTATATGGAACACAATGACTGGCAAAAGATTAAAAACAGGAAAAGCATTTTCTAAAAACACTTATTTCCTCCAAACATACCATCACTTGCAGCTCCAAAATCAGGTCCATTCTCGCCATACATAATGTTGACCAGTTCCTTAGCATATCTTTTCCAGAAAAGTAGAAAATTAATAATGGTTTGTAATATTGTTTAAGATATATTTCAGGAAATATTTTCCTTACGTCAGATTAGGATCTGGGTGACCATGCCCAAAATCTTCCAAAGGCACTCCATTCAAAATTGAATCCTGTACAAGATCCCAGACATCTACAGTCAAACTCAAATAATAGTTAAATTTCAAGCAATACAAAATACCACATGCAAAACATACCAGAGTGGCTCCTAGCTTGTCTACAAAGATGGGTTTTGCATAAGCACCTGTAACTGCATGCATGGCATCAAACACAATCCTGAAAGCAGCATAAAAAATGGACTAATTGCGAGTCAAGAATGTTGTTTTTTTTCTTTCCCTCACTCTGACCTCCTCTTACCCATACTCAATAGAGTATGCATACCACATGAGACAGTATGGGTTGTGTGTGTGTGTGTGTGTGCACCTTGCAAAATACTTGACACATAACATGAATTCCAAGAACATTGGCCCAAAAAACTATATATGTTTACCCCAAAAAATAAGTGGAAACATCAAAAGTTCAAATTCGTTGGTTATATTTGTCTATCCTGTGCAGTCCTCAGTACCTACTAGGGCTATTAATCGTTACATAGATGCTGTAAAAATTACCCCAAAAAAAGACATAGATGCTGCAAATATACCCAAAGAAAAGACATAAATGCTGTAAAAGCATTTGAAACTGGCATGCAGATTGCAGAATAATTTTCCTCCATGAGTATAGATGTATTTTTATCTCTTATGAAATGGACACAATATCCCATGATATTAATCTGAGAGTCAAATTGCTCAATAGTAATATGATTCAAAGACATCCCCTCCCGTAAATTTTAGTGAAGAATGTTGAATTGAGTCAACTTGTGTATTGAAGTACTAGAAGTGTTCAGCAAACAACCTAAGTGCTAGTGGTTCAAATCTTAGAACAATCAATTTGTGCAGATAATGTCAAAGGATAGGCATGTGTGCCCTCAAAAGAAAGGAAAAGGAAAAATGACAATTAGTGGAACTAATATGTTAACAACAGAATCAAGTAACAGTACAAGAATGAAATCATCCAAGCTCAGGCAGGATAATAATTCATACCTGAAATCTGTCCGAGAAAGAAGACTTCTGATAAGCAAAAAATCAAAAACATTCTGCACCAACAGTTATTGGTAACCAANACACCCTCATGCCACTCATGAACTGTATGTCATCCAGGCCAAACATTTTGTGAACACCAATGCTCTAGAGTTCACAGTGGCAAGCAGTCATGAAAAGAATGTGTAGCATATACTTAGCTGGCATGACAATGTCTATATGGAACACAATGACTGGCAAAAGATTAAAAACAGGAAAAGCATTTTCTAAAAACACTTATTTCCTCCAAACATACCATCACTTGCAGCTCCAAAATCAGGTCCATTCTCGCCATACATAATGTTGACCAGTTCCTTAGCATATCTTTTCCAGAAAAGTAGAAAATTAATAATGGTTTGTAATATTGTTTAAGATATATTTCAGGAAATATTTTCCTTACGTCAGATTAGGATCTGGGTGACCATGCCCAAAATCTTCCAAAGGCACTCCATTCAAAATTGAATCCTGTACAAGATCCCAGACATCTACAGTCAAACTCAAATAATAGTTAAATTTCAAGCAATACAAAATACCACATGCAAAACATACCAGAGTGGCTCCTAGCTTGTCTACAAAGATGGGTTTTGCATAAGCACCTGTAACTGCATGCATGGCATCAAACACAATCCTGAAAGCAGCATAAAAAATGGACTAATTGCGAGTCAAGAATGTTGTTTTTTTTCTTTCCCTCACTCTGACCTCCTCTTACCCATACTCAATAGAGTATGCATACCACATGAGACAGTATGGGTTGTGTGTGTGTGTGTGTGTGCACCTTGCAAAATACTTGACACATAACATGAATTCCAAGAACATTGGCCCAAAAAACTATATATGTTTACCCCAAAAAATAAGTGGAAACATCAAAAGTTCAAATTCGTTGGTTATATTTGTCTATCCTGTGCAGTCCTCAGTACCTACTAGGGCTATTAATCGTTACATAGATGCTGTAAAAATTACCCCAAAAAAAGACATAGATGCTGCAAATATACCCAAAGAAAAGACATAAATGCTGTAAAAGCATTTGAAACTGGCATGCAGATTGCAGAATAATTTTCCTCCATGAGTATAGATGTATTTTTATCTCTTATGAAATGGACACAATATCCCATGATATTAATCTGAGAGTCAAATTGCTCAATAGTAATATGATTCAAAGACATCCCCTCCCGTAAATTTTAGTGAAGAATGTTGAATTGAGTCAACTTGTGTATTGAAGTACTAGAAGTGTTCAGCAAACAACCTAAGTGCTAGTGGTTCAAATCTTAGAACAATCAATTTGTGCAGATAATGTCAAAGGATAGGCATGTGTGCCCTCAAAAGAAAGGAAAAGGAAAAATGACAATTAGTGGAACTAATATGTTAACAACAGAATCAAGTAACAGTACAAGAATGAAATCATCCAAGCTCAGGCAGGATAATAATTCATACCTGAAATCTGTCCGAGAAAGAAGACTTCTGATAAGCAAAAAATCAAAAACATTCTGCACCAACAGTTATTGGTAACCAATCCACACATTTTTCATGTTAAAACTCCACAAGGACATTTTTTGTTCCTCACCTCCATCAACTCTAAATAGTCTGAAACTGGGTCAACTACTTCGACATTAAAGTTCCCATATTTTGTTACTCCAAGACAAGACAGGTCAACATCGGGAATGTCTGCCATCTTTATTTCAGAGATCTGCATAGCACTTGTGCCATTCGCGATTTAGATGAAAAAACTATTGAACTATAAGGGACAAACTACCAGTTTTTATCCTGACATAAGCAAGTTGATAGCATGTGAATGTATTACGCACTTTTCACATCTAAGATCATTGAGAATAAAGTCACATAGGTTGATTGGAAACTTCAAGGAACAAGTGAATAAGAATATATAACAACCAAAAGCTAATATGAATTAAGGATGAAACAGGGTAAAGCAGAAGAATTGGTTGATGATGAAAGAAACACGAAGAAGAAATATGAAGTGTATAGGCAAAAATATAATACCATTTACAGCAAAAATGACAATGTTCCTATATCAACTTATTTGACATAAAGAGAACTGAGGCAACATAATTGAAGCAGGGGAGGAGTATATGTTAGCTTTTTAGCTAAAAGGAATTTAGATGATTTGTTCACCTCCGATATAATGCCAAATAACAAAATGTAAATTGACACATGAATATTTTCATACAAGCTGAAAGCATATGCCAACTAGTTAACAGGAAAAGACAACCTGGCCATGGGGGCCAAACCTCTCAAACAGGTGCCGGTGGGTCTATACGGAGCCTTTCAATTGGCCAGGAAAAACCAAGAAATGTTGATTTAACAGTGCAATCACTTAATTAGCTGCCAGCATGAACTCTCTGCCGCCCATGCAGAGGAGTAAAATTAACCCTAACAAAGAGCAGTGCTTGAGGCTGCCCTAACTCTTGAACAACAACTACTTGAAAATACAATCTTATTTCACACTACACCAGAGCGGTGCAATTGCTTTCCTTCAACGTACAATATCGTCCTATTCAGCTGTTAATCTATTGAAACTGGGAAAGAGAAAGGGTATATCTACAGAAAAAGAACTAGTGTTTGGACATAACCACCAGACTCTACAACCCAGCCACATTCAAACAGAATATAACCCTTTTCAACGACCAATAGTCACTGCAACATGCTGTACAAAACAAATTTTGCAGAGTGCATAGAGTTGTCGAGGAAGTAAAATCACCTCGACATCTTTCCAGCAAGCTTACTTTGATGATATAAAAATAAATCATTGAAAAGAATTAAGAAACTAAACATGACACCATATAGTAGTTAATTTCAAGCATAGATATAGGATAAGATACATACAGAAAGGGTGTTTCCATAAATTTTGTCAGTGATGCTTTCAGGTGCCGGTTGCCCGCTACTGTAATTGAACTGGAAAATTAGACACGAAAAGAATTGCATTGTGTCAGAAAATGTTGATTTGAGGGGCCAAAAAGCCTAAGGATTATGTCAGGAATGAGAGTTGGTTTCTTTATATGAATCATATAAAACTCTACAGCAATTTGCATTAAAGTTGAAATAAAGAATGGAAATGATTTCAAATTTTCAAGTAGCTGCTGCATACAAATTAATATACATGATGAGAACACAAAGCAGCAACCTAATACATCCTATATGCATAGTGCAGCATAATGTTTAAAATACTATAGGGCTGTATAAGCACTAGCAATTCACCTTGATACCCCAATCATAGTCAGGCCCACCAGGATTGTGGCTTGCACTCATTATAAAACCTCCATTGGCCTGCAAAAACATTCTTTTTATTGACAGGCAGATAAAAACATATGGTGAATACATTGCAAATTTTGCTAATGTTTGTAGATGGTAATAGCCAAGAAAAGTAGAAACAGGTGCTTGCCTTTCTCTTCCTTATCACAGCAGAAACAGCTGGTGTTGACATAATACCTTCTCTGCAATGATAAGATTTAAAGTTTAGCTTCCATAACATAAATCAGGAAATTCAGTCAATTGAATCAGAGATCAGTCAGCACAGGCAAATCGCTCATGAGAGTGTAGGGAATACAATAGTTGACTGGCCAATAAAAAAATTATGAGAAAACACAACTTAGTACAAATTTCTAATGCAGAGAGAGTCAGCACTACATTATCAACAAGAGAATGAAAATATCCTTGGACATTAATATCAGCCTTTGCAAAATTGATCTTTTCAGGATCCCTTATAGGAGTAATTATTTCAATTCTAAATCCAACAATGTAGTATTTCCCACCAGATTAAAGAATATGAGTCAAACGGTCTTTCTTTCATATAAATTATACAGTTATGAAGTTTTGCTTCTCACGCATAAACCATAAATACATTGAAAATTAGAAAAGTAGAAATAAAAGCTTTGAAATTAAGTAGTTGGATAATGGCATCAGCTGGGTAATAAATGGATAAACAAATCAATCAAGACACTCACTTGCCCACCAAAATTTTACCAGCACCATTCCCGGCGGCAATTTTAATGATTATCTGCATTTCAAAACCGATCAACATACGTCAAGAGGAAAAAAAAAACAATTCTTTCTGATGCAAATTAAGCACTCAAAACCATCCACGTTACACAGCATACCTGAGCAGCTTCTTTGTTAAAATATCGACCATCACCTCCTAACACCAACAACCCATTCTTATAATCCTCAGGCGGCAATGAATCAAACAACGCCTGTACATATAAAAATCCTACTAAATATATCAAAACGTCGACTCACTACAACTAAATCAACCAATTGAACGTTAAATAAAATATAAGTTAAAAGAAATTCGAACCTGAATCCAATTGGCAACGTAATTTTCTTGCATAAACACTTTGACCTGTAGATATAAAGACGCAAACAATAGTCCTCATTCAATATTTAAACAAAATGCAAGTAAATTAAGTGACAGAACGATTGAAAAACAAAAAGAAAAAGATACCTTCTTTCGAAGACCACTTGTTCCGGTTTTTTGACCTTCGATCGGCTTCGTTGGAACCGAATTGACCTGAAAATCACAAAGAAACTTTAAAGAGAAAGACATATACAGAAATCCACAAGTGTTGCGTGCGTATGGATATAGAGAGACCTTGAGGCCTTGGGATTCGGCGACGGTGGTGGAGGAAGGAGAAGTTGAAGAAGCTACGACTGAGAGAGAAGAAGATTGGGCGTTGAGAGGGGGTTTACGAGAGAAGAGGTTGGGAAAAGGAGAGGAGGAGTTGAGAAAAGAGAGAGATCTGCTTGGAGTACAGAGTATAGAACTGGCATTGGCCATTGGTTTGAGTTTGTTCGATGGTGATAAAAAGAGGCTCTCTGTTCTAAACGAGAACGCCATGGATTGACGTCTCGGTGCTCCTCCGCAACTCGAGAGAGAGAGAGTAGAGAATCGAGAGTTGTGAGTGGTGGTGGCGTTGATTGTTTGAAATCTAGAGGACCATAACTGGCACATGTCCTTGGGAACGCTTATCTCCATTCTACGCTCTAGTCTTCACGTCTCCTCACGTGAAACTCTGTTTTTTTTTGCTCTTTATGTTCTACTCAGTTTTGTATTTATTAACTTTAGTCTATCGACGTGATCATATGGAATTTGACATTCCTTCAAAAGTTTGTATAAAATTATGATGAGATTATAATTTAATGGGCTGATGATATGACAGAATTCTAAGTCCTAATTTTAATTCTAATCGTAAAATACTTTAAAATTAATTTATAGAATAAAGTAATTAGAAATATTTGTCTTCAATTTTTTGTGGCTCAGATTACTTGACGATTCTTGATCCGACGGTCCTCGTCGTAAATTTCTCATTTAACTCTCTCTTTTTATCTCATACTAACTAATACAAATGACTCATATATTTCATTTAATTCTATCTCTCTATCACATCCTATAATTGTCTTCATTACTCCCCGCCTCATCCATTTTTAAAAATATTCTATCTGTTTCTACCGAAACTCCTCATCTAACTCTCTCTCATTTTTAAAAACAAATAACCTACCTATCTCATATCTCAATTGTTATCTCACGACACCCTTCCCTCTCCCTTTTCCTCTCTTTCTCTACCTTGCCCTTGCCCCTGCAACACACACCACACCAGAGTAACACCCACTGCAACACAACGCCATAAGCCCAGGTATTCTGGGTCTTTTTCTTCAATTCTCTCCCCCTCTCTCTTTCTCTGTTTTCTGGGTTTTTTGCGTGTCTGCGCACCTGTGTTCATGTGTGTGTGTGCGCCTTTGTGTTCATTTTTTGTCTCCTGTGAACTATGGTTTTGTGAGATCGTAATCTCTGTGTGTGTAATTGCTTTCTTTTCTACGTAATCTTGGCTAGCTATAAATAATAGGGAAGTTTAAGCTACAATACATGTAATCAAATTTTATGTTCAATTTATCTTTGCTCTCTCTATTCTTTCAATTGTCTTTGGTTTTATGAAAGGAAAGAATATGATTTTCCTGGTCAGACGCGAGACCCTCATGAGGAAGTATGTCAACTTCATTCTTGAAATGTCTTTCTTGGATTTTTTTTAACATATTGAATTGTTGTGAGGTGTCTTTTTGGGGATTATTTGAGTAATGAGTTTGTAACAATTTTGATTTTTCAGATGGACCCATTGAGAATTTTCTATGAAACTTTGTATGAACAAGTTCCTAATAGCGATATGGCTGCTTTTTGGTGAGAAATTCTTCTATTGCCCTTCTCCAACAAAGAAAGGGTTTTTTCATATATGCTTGAATTGTAAATTATATGATATTTGTAATGTTGATTTTTGTATTCTCTTTGTGTTCTCCTCCCCAATCTTGTTCTCTCTCTCTAGTGTCCAACTCTGGCAACCCACATAATCCGACGATCAACAACTTTGGCAAAACCTCTTATGGTAGGTTTGTCTCCCATCTTTTTTCTTCTCTTTCACTACTTTGTAACATACACAAATAGCACACACGCATACAGCACACAACAAACAAGCACATACTCACACAGCACATAGACACCATGCTCGCAACACATAGAGACGACACAATACACACAAACAACACAAATTCACTCACACACATAGATTCACACACGCAAACAATTGGATATTGGGGCAACACACAACATAAACTCTTCACAGATCCCATCAGAGAGTATGAGACATATAGGAACAATGGCTATGTGAGTGCTTCAAATTTTAAATTTCCAACCTATTTATTTGCAATTGTGGCTTTTCAATTCTGTTTGGTTTTTATTTATTTTTTCCATAGTTGGATTTTGATAAAAGAGCAACCAAGTGAGAGGTTGGATTTGTTTTAGTTTGATATAATTTATAGCAAAACATGTGTTTGATGAAATGTCTTCATGAGTGTCTTCAAATTTGATTAGATCATTCAATAATCCACATTTGTGATTGAGTTGCTTTTCATGTCATGCTATGGCGAAGGTCCGTCAAGCTTCATTGCTCTATATTTTTTTTTTTGAAAACGGTGACTTTTTCTGGCAATAGCAAACACAGACCTTATCGCTCTCTCTTTCTCTCTCTCTTTAAGGCTTTTTTTTGTTCTCCTTGATTTGATATCATGTCATTATTATAAAATTGGTTTTTGAATTAATTATGTTCAAATTCTCTCTCTATTCTTTTGTTTGACTAAATATTTTTCATATACATTTAGGCTCTTCAATGATATCAATGGATGCTAAACATAGTAATAAAGTTGACGGTGGCAATGGTGGAGGTAACTAGGTAAGGTTTATTGATCAAATTTTTATTTGGTTTTGTATTTAGGTTTAGAAAATAAGTTTATGATATCTATTAGAGTGAGAGTATAACAACTTTCATTGGCATTAAAGGTTTACTGCACCATCAGTTTTCAGATCAATTTTTGTATTTTTGATTCTCTCTATTGCTAAGTAGAACTTGAGCCTTTGATCCCAAACAACTCTTCCATATTTTTAGTTGTTTGGTTTTGCCTCATTTAATTTTTTTTTTTCATAAATTCAAAATTAATTTCTATTCCTCATATTATTTCCAAGTATATATATAATGGTGTTTTCCAGTGATGTTTCATGTGGAGGACATTAAAGCACTTGATCGTATCCAGCATATATGTTAAACAAGCTGGGAGTTTAGCACTAAAACATTGACAATCACATTGTGTTAGATATTGGGTTGGGTCGTGGACGCTTCGATTCCGAACACATTGAATCTGGACAAAAAGTGATTGACAACTTTGTTGTTGCTTTGAGATGTACGGGTCAATAGAGGATCGTTACTACTGTCTTAAGACATCTTCCACTCTTAGTCTTTTCATTAGCTTCTTAGTGGATATTTTTCGATGATTTCTATTTAGCAAATTTGAATTTTTGTCAAATTCTGTGGTATTTTTTCTTTCACTTTATTGTTTTTTTGTGTTCAAATATTAGGTACAAGTTGTTTGAAGACTAATGAAGTCAGTCTTCCTTTTGTATTGTTGGACAATTGCTTTATATTATTGAAAGAATTTTCTTTTAGTAGATATATGTTTATGATTTCTTGGTTTGGTGAATGTGGGATGTTACAGAGGTGTAGTAATGCCCATATTTAGAGATAGGATTTCATATATTTTTTGTTCTAAACTTGATTATTTAGATGTGTTGAATAAATAGTTTTTGGTTTTGCCATTGATGTGCTCTCTGAGTTTATTTTTCAAGCTCTTTTACAACATTGAATTGTTTGAGTAAATCTATTTTATTTTTTCATTAAGTAAATATTCGAGTTTATGATTTTTTTTTTGTATTTTATGATTTTTATTTTGTCTCTTACTTGGTAATTGGTAGAATATTACTTATCATAAATCAAAGAGAAATCATATTTTTTTGATTAACAATTTTTTTGAATAACATAATAGTTTTAAGTACGGATAATAACTAGTATACAATATCATATATTGAATTGTAATTTTACTATTCTCCTCAAAAGAACACCTTGTCTATACGGACCACAGTCTTTTGCGTAAATTAAGGATGATCCAATAGCATCACTTTACAGTTTTCTGCCAGCGAATGCGAAAGTTTTGCTCTGTGATTAAACCACCCAATGGGCAATGAGTTATGATAGACCACAATCTAAGGCGGACTAGGGTTCCAGACTAGGTTCGGCCAGTGGAGCGGAGAAACCAAGTTTTAAGAATTACAGTTTACCCACTTAAATTTTTATAAATATTATTAAGTTGACAAGCCTTAAAAATGTAGCTTTTCAATAAGACCCCCACCCCCCCTCTCTCTCCTGATTAAAAAGGGTTGCGACGGGCGGTCAGCGTGAAAGTCTTACTTGGGTGTGACTCTACCAATCCAATCCCGCTAGGTAGTCCTCCCGAGAGTCCTAGACGGTGGACTCCACGAGGACTTCTTAAAGATAACTAAAGTTACAGCTTAACCTCCACCAAATTAAGTTACTATAAGTCAAAGTTGCTAACATCGAAGTTAGCCCTTGTAATTCAGATATTACTGCTTACATGTAAACTATTGAAGAAAGTTCTTGAGGCGAAGAGCTTGAACCAAATAACAATTCACAAGTTTTTATTCTTTAATAATCGAAATAAAATATTTACTTATTATTATTCGTAAATTAAAGCTGAGTGATCATTATTATGACGTGTTGTCTTGCCACTAGATCATTGAGTTCGGTAATAATATGACACTCTCGATCCTAAATTACATTTGTTCAATTCATGTGGGATCCGGCCTATCTTTGCCCGCAACACGTAGTTGTCTTTGAGCTGAAAATGAAACATACTTGAGGCGTGAGATTAGCCCACATTTCTCTACATATATAATTGAGCCCTGTGATCTGATCTACAACAGGAACACAATAAAAAAAAAAAAAAAGTAAACAGTATTGGAATCTAAAATTTAATCTAATTTGCTGACCAAATAATATAATTTCATTGTAACCATTGAATTAACATCAAACTTCAATGTTTGATGGAGTTCAAAATCAATCCAATGATTATAATGAATTAGGTTAACAAATTAGGTTAATAAATTATATCACAATATAATTACTAAAAATAAATAGAGAAATTTGGAGACCGGTCATCTTTTGTGTACTTATTTGGTGATAAGTCTATCAAAAAACTTATTTAATATTAAGTCCATTTTGATCTCCATTATCCAAAATACTCTCAGTAGTTTATATATATATATTAACATTAAAAAGAAAAAATAACAACATTATATATTAATATTTGAAAAGATAACAGTACTAACATACTCAAAAAAAAAATGATATTTCAAAAAAATAGTAATATACAATATTAACATTAAAAACAAAAAATAGTAACATTCAAATAAAAAAAAAGTATAATTTAAGCACAAAAAATAATACTATTCAAACACAAAAAATAATAACATTCAAAAATAAAAAATAGTAATATTGTATATTAATATTTGAAAAAAAACAGTAGTAATATGCTCAACAAAAAATAGTAATATTGAATATTGATATTTCAAAAAAATAATAACATTCAATATTAACGATAACATGATTATAAAAAAAAAAAGTAACATGAAAAAATATAGTAACATGCACAGCAAAACAAAAATAGTAATATGAAAAAAAAAATTGTATAAGAAGCGAAAATTGAGATGAGGGTAAGAAGTGTTGTACGTTTTCAAGAGGTCGAATAAAAGAGAAGTTGCGACTATTATTGCTATTGCAGGAGGAGGAGGAGGAATTAAGGTCATGGTTAAGGTTTCGTTTCGGGGAATAACCGTTGTTGACGGTGGTGGAAAAATTATGTGCACTAATGAAGGTAGAGATGTATCGACAAAAAGAGCAGTTGGAGTTCTGACGGCAACATCTTCGTTAATGGTGAGAAAGAAAAACTCATAATTGTCGGGCAACAATTAAAATAATGTGGATCATGAATTTGAATTTCAAAATTTATTGTCAAATTTTATGAGATTGAATTAATAGTAGAATTAAAAGGTAAAGAACTTGAGTGTTTCCCAATTAGGAAGAAAAATTGAAGTCTAATACTATTCAAATATTATAAGTCTCTTAAAGAGTACTCAATCTCAATTTTCACAAATAAATACACATACATGCACTTATGGAGTAAATATTTAATGCAATGGTGACACCATGTAATCACTGTCACATGGTGTCACCATCCAATTAAAAAACAACAAATAAGTTCACTTCTAAGAGAACCGAACCTCCAAATGTTTGACAAGGAACTTTATTTCAAATTCAATATATTCATTTCATTCACAATGAATTCTTTATATACAAAATAAAAATAACCATAAAAATAACTTCCATGACCCATCATTCCACCTTCTAAAAAACTATCCACCAACACATTAACTTAATAACCACTAACAACTACTCTAAAATTATATATATAAGCACATAACATTAAGTGGTGAATTAGATGAAATGTACCTACCTATGTTACTTCACACTTTGAGGTGATTTATGGTCTCATCTCTCCTACTCTTTTGTCATATGTATCTACCACTGCCAAAGCTGACTGCAAGTTGAACAAGAGTTGTTAGATAGAGATTAAATAATTAAGGAGTTAAGAGAGAGAAAATCAAGGAGGCCCAAGCAAGGATGAAACGCATCCTCGAAATAGCCTAATTCTAATTGTTTTCTGTATTTTCTTTCACACCAACAAAATAGGTAGGAACAAGAGTCTACCTGTATTGTTAGAATTTTTTTTGAATAAATCAATTTTTTGTGTCTGACAATTTTTTTTTATTAGGCGTAAGTACCACGTGACACGGTCGCTTTGCTGCCTTATAAATATCCAATATTTCCTACTTATGTGTAATTTAAATAGATTATTTCAGTCATTTTATCACAAAATTGTGGCTTTTTCCAATGAAAACATCCACATCGGTTTTCCCCATGTGGCCCTCCCTAGTAGAATCCCATGCCATCTCATCCTTCTCGGGGGCTTTTGCATGCAAGCCCTCTGTTATGCACCAACGGTGCAATTCGAATGAGTTGGATAGGCAATTTTAACTTAATTTTAGGTATATAATATTTAATTTTAACTCTATTTCGGATTGATAAACTCAATTCAAACACTATCCGAGTTTAAGAAAAGGCGGGTTTGGATTGAATTCGAATTAATGATTTCAGACTGATTTTCGGATTAATGTTCTAAACCTGATACATATATTACATAATGTTCAAACAATTTAATAACCAATAACTTCAATCAAATTTTTAACATAAAAACCATAATATTAAGAAATCAATGCAACCACAACCATACAGAATACAAAGTCACAAACACTATTGTTAGTGCCAAACATAGCACTGCTGCCAGTTTAACAGAAATAACAATATTGCCAATTTAACAGAAATAACAACACTGCTGTCATTGCAATACATAACACTGTTCTCTTGCACAGAACTAGTTTAACAAAACACAAACATAAGCAAAACATAGTCCATAAGGATAAGAAAATTAGATTAACCCTAGAATAAATTATAAAATTGCATTTATATAATAGTAATTCGGGTTGAGCCCAATTTTAATATTCGGGTTCAACCCAAGGGCTACCCAAATTGAATTCAGGTTGAGATTTTTTGACTTAAACTCAACCTAAATATTAAAAATCATTGTCCAAACCCTCAATATCACACAATTGTTTAGGAAAAATTCTATTGAACTCACGTTCGAGTCGAAATTTAAGTCATACAACATATTCTAGACACTAAACAATAAATTTAATCTCATTGAATTGTCATAATTATAAAATTCGAACCTTAAAAAAAAAATCCCAGTAAGTTGATTTGAACGGATCAGCATACTGACAAGTCAAACCCCAGGCCCACTTTACCAAAGTGGTGCACCCATGAGACATTTTGTCATGACATAAGAAGAAAAGAACCACTCTCCTACGGAAAAATCCGGTGTCCGCAGCACACGGATTTTAAAAAATATGTCTTTTTCAACTTTATTGCAACCTCTTAACCTTTTTCAACTTTCTTGTGATTTATTTATAGTTATATTCATCGTCAAAGTAATATAATAAAAACAATATATATAAATTTTATACATATTTTACTTGAATTGGTGAAAAATAAAGAGTACGGTATAAAAAAATACTTTTCAGTACTTGGTCTTGATAAAATATTAGCCCATTATTTAAGGTTTTTTTTTTAATGATGGTGTCGTGTCGTACACTATATAGAATCTGTACAAGAAAAATAGAATTTGAAAAGGAAGCTATTTTTCTCTTAAATTGATTCTTAGAATATATATCATCAATTTGGCAAAAATGAAAAACAAGATTAGATAAATGCTTATGTTAAAATAGCATAATAATTTTATTATTATTTTTTTATCGGACGATATTATAAGAAAGAAGATAAAAAAATTTAGAGAGACAAAGGTAGTCATAGTTGACATTGAAACTTGATTAGAGTGTTAGAGCTTTTGTAATCCCAACTAAGATCATTTCACATGTTCCTCTATTGCTTATAATTCAAGAAAATTGGGATTTAATTATAATGTTTCTAATCTGTAAATATTAATTTTTATTTTTTTTCCCAGAGAATTTGTGTTCAAGGTATTTTAACGAATGGTATTCAAATTGCTAACAAGGAGAAGATCTGATTTGCCCTTGTAAACCTCTTAATCCAAGATTTTGTCCTCGTTGATTTTTCACTCTCTCTCCTGTCTCTCTCACTCTCTGCTATTCTTGTTAATATCGTAAAGCTCTCAGTTTTAGAGATTTACTACTGCTGACCCTTCTACAACAGCATGGCTGAAAAACCCACTCCAGGTTCGTCGTATATCTTCCATCTCATTCCATCAGTTGTACCTGTAACTAAAAGGAATCGTGGAATTTGATGGAATCCTGGTTTTATGAGCTGTTGGGATTCTTCGTTTGTGGGTTTGTCACTATTGTTTCTGTAGCTATTAATTGAATACAGGGTCGAGGGAGGGGGATATATTGTATATTCGACCATTGTTAATATTAGATCTTTCTTCTCTAATCAAGGTTACCCCTTCTTGATGTTCTTTGTTGTGTGCTTGTGCCTCGGATTTTGCTGTCTACATTTGGAACCTTTAGACCTTAATCTGAAACTGTAGGCCTTGTGTTGGGTTCTGTTAAGTGCTTGTAGACTGTAGTATGTTGCCATATGAATGAAAATGCAATTCTGAGTTCCAATTGTGCCCTGATCTAACTTCACATTACGGCTTGCTTGCTTGTTGCTTATTTTGAACCAATCGGTTTTTCATATTTAATAGCTGTTGGGTTCATCAAATTGAAAGCGTACTGGAGTTCATTTATCTGGAACTCGATCTGCCAATATTTCAATTTGGTTGTTGGATGGGGTATTGAGGAAGGGAAGAAGAGGAGCTGCAAATACAATAGGCTCTCTGGGAAACCTCATGACATTGATGATTGAGTTTGCTACCAGAGGATATGAATTGGTCATTTCCATTGAAGACAAATGAGCTCTCCCAGTTGTGATTTTTCGGGAAGTACTGGACGATCTGATTTGCAATCTGAGAAATGGGGATTTTTCGAGAAACTTGAAGGGGCAATCCGAATATTAAATTTTTTATTTATCTAGTATTCCCATATGACTCCCTCTCCACTTTATGTAGTTATCTGAAATTTGAGATATATTCTTGGTGTTAGATATGCCTTGGAGAGTAATGATTCAGGCATGGTAGAGTACCATATTGTAGNAATAGAATTTGAAAAGGAAGCTATTTTTCTCTTAAATTGATTCTTAGAATATATATCATCAATTTGGCAAAAATGAAAAACAAGATTAGATAAATGCTTATGTTAAAATAGCATAATAATTTTATTATTATTTTTTTATCGGACGATATTATAAGAAAGAAGATAAAAAAATTTAGAGAGACAAAGGTAGTCATAGTTGACATTGAAACTTGATTAGAGTGTTAGAGCTTTTGTAATCCCAACTAAGATCATTTCACATGTTCCTCTATTGCTTATAATTCAAGAAAATTGGGATTTAATTATAATGTTTCTAATCTGTAAATATTAATTTTTATTTTTTTTCCCAGAGAATTTGTGTTCAAGGTATTTTAACGAATGGTATTCAAATTGCTAACAAGGAGAAGATCTGATTTGCCCTTGTAAACCTCTTAATCCAAGATTTTGTCCTCGTTGATTTTTCACTCTCTCTCCTGTCTCTCTCACTCTCTGCTATTCTTGTTAATATCGTAAAGCTCTCAGTTTTAGAGATTTACTACTGCTGACCCTTCTACAACAGCATGGCTGAAAAACCCACTCCAGGTTCGTCGTATATCTTCCATCTCATTCCATCAGTTGTACCTGTAACTAAAAGGAATCGTGGAATTTGATGGAATCCTGGTTTTATGAGCTGTTGGGATTCTTCGTTTGTGGGTTTGTCACTATTGTTTCTGTAGCTATTAATTGAATACAGGGTCGAGGGAGGGGGATATATTGTATATTCGACCATTGTTAATATTAGATCTTTCTTCTCTAATCAAGGTTACCCCTTCTTGATGTTCTTTGTTGTGTGCTTGTGCCTCGGATTTTGCTGTCTACATTTGGAACCTTTAGACCTTAATCTGAAACTGTAGGCCTTGTGTTGGGTTCTGTTAAGTGCTTGTAGACTGTAGTATGTTGCCATATGAATGAAAATGCAATTCTGAGTTCCAATTGTGCCCTGATCTAACTTCACATTACGGCTTGCTTGCTTGTTGCTTATTTTGAACCAATCGGTTTTTCATATTTAATAGCTGTTGGGTTCATCAAATTGAAAGCGTACTGGAGTTCATTTATCTGGAACTCGATCTGCCAATATTTCAATTTGGTTGTTGGATGGGGTATTGAGGAAGGGAAGAAGAGGAGCTGCAAATACAATAGGCTCTCTGGGAAACCTCATGACATTGATGATTGAGTTTGCTACCAGAGGATATGAATTGGTCATTTCCATTGAAGACAAATGAGCTCTCCCAGTTGTGATTTTTCGGGAAGTACTGGACGATCTGATTTGCAATCTGAGAAATGGGGATTTTTCGAGAAACTTGAAGGGGCAATCCGAATATTAAATTTTTTATTTATCTAGTATTCCCATATGACTCCCTCTCCACTTTATGTAGTTATCTGAAATTTGAGATATATTCTTGGTGTTAGATATGCCTTGGAGAGTAATGATTCAGGCATGGTAGAGTACCATATTGTAGCAATGCATTCAGCGTGTGCTTTTGTCGAATATACTCTGATAATGAGTTAGCTATTTGAATGACCAGTATACATTTCTTTAGAGATGAATTCTAGTTCATTGTTTTCTTTGGTTCTTACTCATTGCTTGCACAATTTGATTCATGTAGCCAAACCCCAATAATGGTGGATTAGGCTTTGTTTGGTTTGCTTTCATTTTGTTTGATCTCAAGCACTTGCATTTGTGTAGGTGATTCAACAGACCTATCTTCAAATACAAATGGTTTGTCACCATTGAATAGTTCACTAGTTGTTTGCTTTGGAGAAATGTTGATCGACTTTGTGCCGATAGTTGGTGGAGTTTCACTTGCAGAGGCACCTGCCTTCAAAAAAGCTCCAGGTGGTGCGCCTGCTAATGTTGCTGTTGGTATATCGAGACTAGGAGGTTCTTCAGCTTTTATTGGCAAGGTGCACTTGACCATCTTTTGTCTTCCTCTCCACCGTCTGTAATTGCTATTTTCTTTGAAATTAAACAACTAATAAATGTGATGCCAGCAATTCTTTCATGATCATATTTGTATCTCATTGTATCCTAATTGCATTCTGATTTCTGAGCCATGCGACAAAATCAGCATTATGTTTTGGGTTCAGATGTGTGTAGGCATTAATTTTGTCAAATTGTGACCTATTAAGGAATATGAGCTCAAGTGGATGGGTTAAGTTTCATTTTTCCTTAAAAAAATCAAGCAGATAAATATTTGCAATATATTGTGTCTTCTATAGGATAGAATATCAGTGTTATAAACAAATGAACAAAGTATATGAGCAGTTATTTACCAAAAACTTGAATTTATTCTACTCACTCTTTTGTTGAAATATACATGTTTTGCATGATCCAATGGAAGAATCGGCATACCCATATCGTGCACCAATAGCCGTTGCATAGGGTTTCAAATATAACAGTGTTTTCTTATGGTAAATTAAAGGTTAGTCCAATGCACGAGGCTTCCGCCCAGCGGGGTCTAAGGAGGGTCAGATGTACGCAGGTTTCCTCCGGTATGCGGAAAGATTGTTTTCACAACCGTGGTAGATTATGGCTTATTTTTATTTTTCTGTGAAGCTAATTGGATTGTGTATTTCATGTACTTAATTAGCATTATAGAGAATCTGGACCCATAATTTACTTATGGACTTTGTTCAACTAACCTTACAACCTTTGCTTGCTTGTTGGCTTATCATAAGTGCATGTCTTGTCTGTCCATTTCTAAAGACCATTCTTTCAACATTATGGCTGTAGCATCATGCTTTCCATTGTCAACAGTATTTCCTTAAATGTAGCTATAGATTTGAAACCTTTGGTATGCATATTGTAGGTTGGTAAGGATGAGTTTGGGTACATGTTGGCCGACATTTTGAAGCAAAATAAGGTTGACAACTCTGGCATGCGGTTTGACCCAAGTGCTAGGACTGCACTGGCATTTGTTACACTCAGAGCTGATGGTGAGCGTGAGTTCTTGTTTTTCCGTAATCCTAGTGCTGATATGCTTCTTCGTGAATCAGAACTTGATGTAAACCTCATAAAAAAGGTATGCTTTCCTTGCACTTATTTTGATAAGGAACGCAGCACAAGATTTTTTACCATAGCAAGAGTGATGGTTTAATGCAGGCTAGGATTTTCCACTATGGTTCAATTAGTTTGATTGAGGAACCAAGTAGATCAACTCACCTTGCTGCAATGGCCATTGCCAAAGCATCTGGCAGCATCCTCTCATACGATCCAAATTTGAGGTTGCCATTATGGCCATCAGCTGATGCTGCTCGCAAGGGCATATTGAGCATATGGGACCAAGCAGATGTTATCAAGGTATAACTTTTGCAGTGAAGTTGTTGTCAGCAGCTAAGGCAACTGTGTTTACCTTGCTACTGTCACCTAAAAGGACTATTTTGTATAGAACTTACTGGACTTCTCTGTTGAACTGCCAGATAAGTGAGGATGAAATATCATTTTTGACTGAAAGCGATGGTCCTTATGATGATGATGTAGTGCTAACGAAGCTTTTTCATCCCAACCTTAAGCTTTTGCTCTTAAGTGAAGGGTCAAAGGGTTGCAGATATTACACTAAGGTAAGCTTATGACACTAAAGTTTTGCCTATTTCTATTTGTTTTGTAATTTTTCAAATCAATTGGCAGCTGAATACACAGCATGAGAATGACTTTCTTTTTTAGCCTTTTAGTACACTCAACTTGTAGCTGGTCTCATTGATTTTCACACCCAGTCACGTTAGCTACTCGGCAGTTATACACAAAATTTTCTGATTCGAAGGCTATGTACTCTTCATCGAGTAATTGGGAGGTTGTGCGATGTTTGATGTCCATATTGAATTATGTTGTATTTAGATCAAGTTGATCTACTTAACCCAATAGTTTCCCTTGATTATCTCTACAGTTACCAATCAATTATAAGCCAGCTGACATCGACCACATTCTGTGCAGCAATTTAAGGGTAGAGTTCCTGCTGTTAAAGTAAAACCTGTTGACACAACTGGTGCGGGCGATGCTTTTGTTGGTGGGTTACTGAATTGCTTAGCTTCTGACATGGACCTTTATCAGGTACTTTAAATTTTTTGGCATAACTGGTATGAGTCATTTGATATGCCTTATTTCATGCTGCTTTTATGTCCCGTGGGCGTAAAGCCTTGAAGAGGGACAAAAGATTTGGAACAACACACTTCTATAAATAAACAAATATAAAAAGCATGCGATATGCAGCATCAACCTGAGTGAACCACTTGGTCATTACTCTAAACTAAACTTTCATGCCAATTTTTAATTATTATTATTATTTTTTTTGCAGGACGAGAAGCGGTTAAGAGAAGCTCTTCATTTTGCAAATGCGTGTGGCGCCATCACGGTAACACAGAAAGGAGCAATTCCTGCCTTACCAACAAAAGAGGCAGTCCTCCAAGTGTTGAAGAAAGATACTGCATGAGAAAAATTTTCCTACGTGTTTGTTTCTTGTGTCTCATCACTGTTAAGCAAATGTAATTTGGATTTCCCTGGTGGGTTTATGATCTGTCTTTGTTCCTGCCCTTTTGCTGTACCTTTTTATTTGTTTAGATTTTTTAAGTTCTATGGTTGGGAAGTTGTATTATGTCTTCATTTGGGCTTCTTGTATGTCTGCATGGCCGCTTTTTCTCGGAGCTTTGGATGTATGGCTAATGTGGATAGCAACCCCGACCTCGTCCACGTATTTATTTATTTACCTATTGGACAAAATTTATATAATAAAGTAGATTATAATTTAAATTTGAAAAGATAAATAAAATAATTTTTTGTGATTCAGATTGCTTTAAATTTTATTTTAAAGTTAATTTAACGGTTAATATTAATACCTTAAATTCAATAGAAAAAATTAGCCCTTAAGAATGTGTTTTGGAGTGACTTTTTAAAAGTATTTTTACGAACTATTTCTCATAAGTACTTTAAAAAAAAATAGTGTTTGAAACCATCCCACTACTAACTCTACCATTACCACCACTACCTTTACCATCACCACCACCACCACTACCAACACTGTTGTCGTCGCCACCACCACCACTGTTGCCACCCCCACTACCACCGCCATTATTGTCGCCGTCTCCGTCACCATCACCACCACTGTCACTGTCACCCCCTCCACCACCGTCATCACCACTACCACCACAGTCATTGCCATTTACCATAACCATCACCGTCTTTCACCTTCACCACCAGTGCTGCCCACCACCTCTCACTCTCATTACAACTGATATTTAAATTCATTTATCTCTCATCTATGTTTGTGATTTAATTTTGGATATAAATACAAATATGTTTATTGTTTATCATTTTTTATTATTCTATACCTTCAAGCACAGATAATAAATATGACAATAATATAATTAAATATCTTAAAATTTGTTACTTAATCACCTAAATCTCCTCACATTTGTATGCGTGTAACATATAAATCCTATTACCAATCTTTATTAAGGTAACCGTTAAAAATTCATGAAACAAAACATATATTTATTTGCTACCAGTTAAAAAATCTGTAACAATGAGTGTTTTCTATTTTTATTCGATATCAATTTGCTAATAAACAATGGAACAGAGAAACCAAAAAAAAAGGAAGTTGAAACAAAACATATATTTCAAAAAAAATAGGGGTGTTCACCCTACCTTACGGGTAGGAAATATTATCTTCCGTCTTCCTACCCGATACTTGCGGAAGAATTTTTTCTTACCCTATCCTACCTGATCAGGTATGATATTCCTACTTGACTTCCTACCCGATTAATCAGGTAGAAAATTGGGTAAATATTTTTATAGCTATTAATTTTTGGATCATTTTAATAATTCAATTAAATAACATGCACTAATTTAACAACATAATAAATCAATAATACTAAAATCTAAAACAACAACAACAACAACAATTATAATAAAACACAAGAAAGCATAAACATCAATCCATCATAATTGTTACACAAATACAATAACAATTATTTTAAGTTCAAACTATATGAAACACATTAAAATCATAACTGTTCTAATAGGTCACTAGTTCACCACAAATCATATAACCTACACAAAAAATAAGTACATATTTTAGCAACTCAAACATCTACAACAATGATAATGTTATAATATAAATTATATCACACAAATACTCTTATAATTACTAAAAAATATATTAAAAAATTAAATATATTTTTTACTGGTAGGGTAGGATAGGAATGCAAAAATTAATGGGTAATCCGTATTTTTACCCGATTTTTACGGTTAACCGTTCAGTAGAGTCGGGTAGGATATAAAATTACAGTCAATCGAAAATTTGAACACCCCTATACAAGAACCCTAATCATAACAGATATTTAAAAAAAAAAATTAATGTACTAAAACTCATGGCTTGCCGCAATATATATTCAGATTAGCACTAATACTCAAAAAAATAACCAATTTGTTTTAATAATACCCTAATCAATATGTTCTAAAAAAGTCGAAAAATAACTAAAATATATTATTAAAATTATGTGTTATTTTTTTAAAATTCACAAAAAAAATAAATTTTTAATAGAGACTAGCGAATTTTAGAAGTATAAATGTAATATGTTAAATAAAAAGAATAAAAGTAATTAAGTCACAAATTTCCCCTTAGCCGGTCTTTCCCATTGGATTGATTTGGAAGAGATTGGATTGTAATCACTATCCAACACAGTCCCAATTGTCTAGCGAAACACGATCCAAATTGTGAAGATTTAAAGAGTCATAGATGACTGAAATTGAAGGCGTAGGAAGTACACAAATCACAATCAAACCGGCCTCTCCATACGCCAATGGCATGTGCAGTCATTGTGAATTGAAAAGAGATCCAAAGGAGTTTTAAAGGTTTCAACAAAGAAAGAAAAAGAAAGAAAGAGATGGCATTCGTGATTTGAATTGCCAGATTCATAGTTTCATGCCAGTAATTCTGATACATCTCTACACACACACACACACACATGTATTGAGTCTGATTGCACAGATTCAGAAACCAATTTTCAGCTAAATCTCCAAGAATTTCCAAAACATGGCCGCCAATGCGTATAGAGATACGAATGTCAAACCTTCGCTGCAATCTCAGATCGGACCTGATGGTATCGCAAGAGAAGCCCCTGTCATCGCCTACACCGAGAAGGTCTCTCTCTCATACACACACACACACACTGATTTTTAGTGTACTTATATGACGATGGATTGGTTTGGAGCACATGTGATTTTGTGTTTTTCCTGTTTCAGATAATTTTGGAAGAGCAACTTCAATTGAGGAAGTAAGCTATTAGGTTTTTTTTACTTGTGTGTTGTTTTCGGATTCCATTTCATTTATATTTGCATCTTTCACCGTTCAGTAGAATTGCTCGCAAGTTGATCATTCTGAGACTCTGAATGAGCTATTACATTCTCTTAATTAGTTGTACATTCTCCCTCATTCGTTCTTTATAAAACTGTGAGCGAAAATTTGGAAATTAAGTCACGAGTTTAATAAAAATAAGCATTCCTATTCTGCCAAGTCTAATTAGGCTATTTGGCTTAGTTTAATTGAATTCCAGATACCTAAAGGTTGGTTTACCATTACCAATGTGTTGAAGTAGAAATTGATCAACATACAGGGCTGCTGGCCTAATAGTTAAGAGTAAAATCTACTTGATCTTAAACTAGAGCTATTGTCAACTAGTGCAATTGTTTAATTTTTTCTAAGAAGAAGCACCAGGTCTGAATCTCATATCTCATTATGGACGCGTGCAATAAGAGGTCCATGTCTCATTGCTAACCATATATATAAAACTACAGTTATTGTTAAGCTATAGAATTTTTACAACTCTTGATGTTGTATTTGTGTGTAGTTCAAAATGAAGAGATAAAAGGTCTTACTAAAAGGAATTTGGAGTTATAGTGGTGCTTTGAATCACTCCCCATCCTTGTTTTTTTTATAAAGGGTGTCGGAGAGTGATTCCTTAAGATGGTTCATGAGGATTTACTTCACTGGAGGCTTGCTCCTTGCAGTGTGAAGCCTTGCTGACACACATACTTTAAACCTCAAGACTCGTCATATGTTCAAGTGTACATATACCATTATTAGATTCTTTCTTCTCTTTAGTTTCCCCCATTTACCCTTATTGTGTGTAGATTAGCCCTCTGCTTAAAGTACATTAAGAACGTGGTCCTATTAGCTGAGATCTTATTTTCAAAGCAACATATATATATATATATATATATATATATTTTAAAATGTGTATTGACATGAAGCTCATTAAGCAATTAGCCAATAACAAGAAAAAAATTAAATATGAAATGAAAAATTTCTGCGAACAATATGGTCTCCCTTCAGTAGCACTATCTGCCAGTAGAAAACACAAAACCCATAAACCTTATTCCAGAAGCAAAAGTCATTACTCTCGGAGTAAACAGACTTTTACCAAACCTAGTTTTTATGAAAAATCTAGAACAAGACCCCGAAAATCTTATAAGCATAAAACTTATAAGACAAAATTCAGAGCAAAAGCTAGTACATCTAAGTCTGATGTTAAGTGTTTTAACTGTGGGAAAAAGGGTCATATTAGTCCTGATTGTCCAGTTAAAAAACAAGTTAAAAGATTAAAATTAGCCCCTCAAGAAGAAGAAGAATGTGTTCTTCCTCATTCTCTTTTGTTATTACACTAACTGTTTTACAGAGATGACTATCCTTGCAACCTAATTTGATGTTAGGTTCAGCAGGATTACCAGAGGCTGATTGATACTCTGATTCAGTTTCAGAACTACTTTTGGAGTCTAAATCTGTTTCACTAAGATTATTTAGCCTAAAGATTTTAAGAATTTTTTCGGTATTCTCAAGTAAAAATCATCATTGATAATGATTTTGAATTAGAAATCATTGCCTTAATTGACACTGGTGCAGATGTAAACTGCATCCAGGAAGGCATTATCCCAACTAAGTACTATCAAAAAATTATTGAGAGACTTAGTTCAGCAAATAGCAGTAAAATAAATGTTAAATACAAACTACCAAGTGTGCATATCTGTCAAGATAATGTATGTTTTAAAACATCATTTATCTTAGTAAAAGATATGACTGATGAAGTTATCCTTGGCTTACCCTTTGTATACTTATTGTATTCATTTACAACAGATACAAATGGTGTAACCACGAAATCACTTGGTCAGACAGTAACATTTAATTTTACCACCAAATCAGAAGTTAAGAAATTAAGACAACTTAAAGATCATTCAATCTCTAAGTATCTTAATATTATTAACTAAAAAACTAAGTGAGTGAAATTTCTCAAAGAAGAAATTAATCACAAAAGAATTCAAGAACAATTAACAAATCCAATTTTAATTGACAGGATTAACCATTTCAAAATAAAACTAGAAAAAGAAGTATGTTCTAACCTTTCTACAGCTTTCTGGCATATATAAAAAGATTTAGTGAAACAGATATTCTTACTAAATCCAGATCCATCCAAATGAACCATGAAGTAATGAAAATCTGTAAAAAAAGAGATTTCAGAATTACTTAAAAATGGTATCATTCGAAAAAGAAATTCTCGTCGGTCATACCTAGCTTTCTATGTCATCAAAAATACAAAATTAGAAAGAGGCGTACCAAGACTAGTAATTAATTATAAACTTTTAAATTCTGTTTTGGAATGGATCAGGTACCCATTCCAAACAAACAGGATTTAATTAAAAGACTTAATAATTCAGTAATCTTTTTCAAATTTGATTTGAAAAGTGGTTACTGACAAATTCAAATCTATCCAAAAGATAGATATAAAATCGCATTTACAACTCTTTTTGGCCATTACGAATGAAATGTAATGTCTTTTGGATTGAAAAATGCACTTAGTGAATTTCAAAATATAATGAATGAAATTTTTAATTCCATTAGTCATTTTTCTATAGTCTATATAGATGATATTCTCATCTTTTTCAGGTCTATAGAAGAACATTGGAAGCACCTCTATGCATTTCTTGAGATAGTCAGACACAATGGTCTAGTCATCTCAGCTAATAAAATTAAGTTGTTCCAAACCTCAGTAAGGTTCCTAGGGTACAACATCTAGCAGTCTACTATTGTTCCCATCAGTCGTTCTATCCAATTTGTAGATAGGTTCCCTGATGAGATCACTGATAAAACCCAACTTCAAAGGTTTTTAGGTTCCCTAAATTACGTTTCTGACTTCTATCAGGATCTTAAGAAAATCGTCAAACCTCTGTATGACAGACTCAAAGGAAATCCTCCTCCTTGGACTTCTGTTCATACATCCATTGTCAAACAATTCAAGCAGTTCATTAAAACTTTGCCTTGCCTTGGTATTCCTTCGGTTTTCCTTCGGTTGATTCCTTCAAAATCATCCAAACAGATGCCTCCGACATTGGCTATGGTGGTATTCTGCTTCAAAAACTCACTCCAGATTCCCCAGAGCAAATAGTTCGTTTTCACTCCGGTATCTGGAATAAAACCCACGCAAATTATAGTACTATTAAAAAAGAAATTTTATCTATTGTCCTGTGTATCTCTAAATTTCAGGATAATATATTAAATCAAAAATTCTTAATTAGAATAGACTGCAAATCAGTAAAATATGTTTTGAAAAATGATGTACAAAATATTGTTAGTAAGCAAATTTTTGCCAGATGACAATCTATTTTAAGTATTTTCGATTTTGATATCAAATATATCAAAGGCAGTAATAACTGCATTCCTAATTTTCTAACCCGTGAATTTCTGCAGGAACCTCATGGCGGACAGAAAACACAATAGCCCTGGATCTTCTTCCAAAGCCGGGAGGAATACAGGAAAGAAAAAACTAAGCCAAATATTTGCCCAAGAAAAGACAAATCTGGATAAAGATAAACAGTTAGCCTTGCCAAGCCCACTAGTCTTGTCAACCCCTTTATCCTTTGCCATTCAGATTGCCAATAGGCTTCAACCCCTTGGTAATCTTAACCCAACAAGGCCAGTAGTCAAATCCACTATAGTGCCCCCTAGCACTTTCCTCCAAATGGCCCAGCAGGCCCCTAGACCTGTTGCACCAACCCAGCCTGGCACCTCTAGCCAAATATTAAATCCATATTCTCACCATAAAACCCAGTTTGTCCCAAAAGGCCCAAACTTTGACTACGTCAAGGCTTATACCCAAAATATATTTGTCATTAAACCAGTCCATGCTCATCTAAGTAATCTAATGAACTTAGTCACTGCCTACCTTGAGCCAGGATGAACATTCATCCCAATTGATTCTGAAAAGATCTTCCAATTCTATCAGGATATATTGTTTTACACTTAATCCATATTTGTCGAACTCATATTTGATAAAAAAGATTCAAGTAAAATTATTTACCATTTCTTACATATTTTAAAAATTATTTCTCTCAAAGACTGGGGATCTCATCCTTCTTCACTCCGAGATTATCCTACCATAAAAGAAAGTTTAATTACTATGATTACATAAAATTATTTCTCTCAAAGACTGGGGATCTCATCCTTCTTTACTCTGAGATATCCTACCATAAAAGAAAGTTTAATTACTATGATTACAAAGAATCATGGTTTAAACTGATACTCTACCAAAATGATTCTTCTGATCATTCATGGTTCCTATATTTCCACAAAGATTTCAAAAGCCAGATTCCATCCTGGTTTATACAGTGGTGCTTTATTCACGACCCTATTCATGAAATCTTTCCTCTTGATCTTCAAGATCAAATTATAGCCTTTTCCTCTGTTTACCGACTTAGTAAACAAGAGAGTCAGTTTCCTATTTTACTAAATTTTATTTGCAGGTACAAAGTCCCATGGATATGCAAATGAAAATGAAAAATTATTGGATTTAATGTCACTAGACAGTTTTATGTCAAATGGTGGCCCAGATTCCAACAAGAACCAATAGTTAGATTTGTCCAATAGGAGTTCCCAGTCAAGGTTCCAACCCCAACAGTAGCTCCAGTTAAACAAGTCATGCCTTATCTCAGGGTTTTTACTCCAGAAGAAAAGAAATCCGTCGAGGAAAAACCAAAGCAGAAGAAGTCCTCTTCTAAAGACTCCAGTAAACAGTTCAAGAAGCAGTTTGCATATCTAATCAAGTTTGCACAACAGCTTCTTCAAAAAGCAGCCTGTGGAGACAGCTCATCAGCATCCCTCACAGGCATCAGTTAGTCCAACATTGGATCCCTTCCAAGACAGTCAGGATCCTTATGCCGGTTATGATGATTTGGTAGATATTTCTACCCCATAATGATACTTGTCCATCATATATGTGATAGTTTCACTCACTATTCTCTCCAATAAGAGAAAGAAAAGTTGTCTGTTGCATATATTGATTAGAAATCGTTTTGGTTCAACGGCCCTTTCATTAAAAGTAGTCATCAGTCACTTTCAATATCTGCTTTCCACCGAAAGTAGATTCCTCCAGACAACATCAGAACCCATCTACCACAAAAGTCAACAGTCCTGCCATCAAAGTCTACATTCACCAGGGTAAAAGCAATTCACTTTCACTTTCTCACCGAAAGTTTAAAGTGAAAAACTTTACCTAAAGATAAAGCAGGAAAAGAAGACAACGGAGCAATTAATTCCAAAGATTTCTTCAGAGTTCTTTACCCCTTTATAAGGACTTCAGTCTTCTCATCAAAGGCAAGAGTTTTTTCTTGAAGAAAATCCTTCTTCAGAGAGTTGTAACCCGAAAGCTCCCATAAGCCTCCTCATACACGACTCACTATCTCATATTCTGTAAAAAGTCTTCATAATAATGCAAATGAAGAGCTTCTCTCCTATCCTCTTTCACTACTACCCCACTTAGTGTTAGTATTGTAAGTATTTATTTTTGTTATCATATTTTGAATCTTGTTCATTTAAACAAGAAAAATAATTTATCACTCTTTTATCTACATCTTGTGATTCTCCACATGAATTCCGCACTTGTCTTTAGTTTGGTATCAAAGTCTATATATATATATATCTTTGTACTAGGGAAGCAATTTTTCTGACTTCAATTTTATGGCTTTCAACAATTTATTTTTTCCCATCTACTGTGTTAATTTTCTTTAACTTGATGTTTTGCCTTATCTTTTTCTGTACTTCTCACAGATATATTGACGAAAATTATTCAAAAATCCGGGATGTTGAACGAGAGCTGGCAAATCTTAATATGGAGATGAAACTTACAGCTGGGCCGAAGAAAGCAGGTTAGTCATTGTCATGATTAGTTCTTCCCATTTCAAGATTTTTGAAGTATCTCCTTTTAAACTTGTATGGCTGACTGATTATTGCGTTGCTCTGGTGTATGCATGTCTTCAGCACTTGAACATATGAAAAAGAAAATAGAAATGTCAACTGAGAAAATTCGTGATGCCAAGCTGAAGGAAGAACAAGCTCGAAAGGTTTTTCTATTTTAGTTATTAAATAAAGCTAAATGCCATTGTCCAATGCCCAGAATGTACATTCGGATAATTATTCAACATGTTTACTCAGCTACATTTGGTTCGTTTTGTCGCTACCTAGTACTTCCTGAATTTCTATATTGTGGTAGTGGAGTCTGCAAACCATTTTCCAATCTGTGCAAAGTTTTCATGTAGCATCTAATATTTTTGTGGACTTTCTGAAATAAATGGGATTTTGCTGTTATCTCCAATCTGTCATGGCTGAAGTGGAGCAGCACTCACAATTCTCTGTCATCCTTCCCCTTAATACCTTAAGAAATATTTTTGACCTAAATCTAGCAGATATCAAAAGTTTGTCTTGGAAGTTTTGAACAGTAAAATCCACACAGAATCCTCAATCTTTCAGACATTCATGGGAAACAACTTTGGTTACAGGAAGCCAGGAAAAAAGCGCCTTGGTGTATGTTGAGTTACCTCTCAATGAATCTGGTGTGTGAAAATGCCGCTTCTTGGCTAAAGCTTGGAATGGATATCAACGATATGAATTTTGCAGACGTCGCCCAAAATTATTGCCTCTGTAATTTAAAAACAAGTGAAATTTTCTTTTCTGTTTCAACCTGACACCTGCATTTGGTTTGAGCATGGGTTCTGAACTTTTTGTTCTACATTTTCGTTTACTTTTTAGTTGTCTTCACAATGTCTATATTGTTAAGGTACTCTCAAATTCTTTGCTAGTGCAATTTTTTTTACCTCTTTTCATCAGATGGATATTGTTCTGCTCCTTCTAGGCATGGGAAGCAGCATCGAAGGCTGTAAAGGATGAGGAAGCAATTAAGCAGAAGCTTTGTGAAGACTTGAACAATTTGGTATATCTGTTTGCTAAATAAATGAAAGTTGGAGTGCCATTGTCTTTTTTTTTTTTACATTTTTTCTTTTATTTAAAATTATCTTTTATAGGTCCAAGAAAGCAGCAACAGTCAGTTTGCTAGACTGGAAGAGCTAAAAAGGCGGTTAACAGCACTAAACCCAAGCAGATCATCCACCTCTGCCCCATACGTGAGCTCTCTTTCTATTTTATCTTCATGTATGTGTATAATGGAACACGTTTGTCATGGTTTTACCTTATTTTATTCATCTCATATTCAAGTATTCTGAAATTTGGAATTAGATCTTGTTTTTTGTCCACACTCGTTTTTTTATTGTCTGATTGGGCATATTTTTTTTGGCAAAATGCTATTTCCAGTAGATCTACTGTGTGTTGTTTCGCATCTCCATGCATGGATGCACTAACATTCAAAGTTGATACCTCATTCCTAACAAATCCTTAGCTGTTAGTTATTTCTAATCTCTAATATGGCCAGTTGGATAAATTATAGTCTTAACTGTGTAACAATCTTCCTCATTTTCCTTCATCTTCCTTGTTTGGTGCATATTTGGCTGGTGTATCAGTTTGTGTATTCGTCATATCGACTTATATTGACAATTCATTATGGAACCGTTACACTTGGAATCGTAACAGTAATAATGTATTAAGACTATTATTATACATGAGATAGATAATTGAGAGAAAATATCTAATCCTTTGACAGAATTTTGAAGAAGGTTACATGCATATAGCTACTTTTGTACAGAGAATATGAATGTGTTCCAGCTGCTTACACAGAGAAGACAGTGTCTTGATGTGAAAATTAAGGATAATAGAGCATGGAGTTTGCTAACTTGTTTGGTCATGTACAAAGGAGTCGGAATTGCACAGAATCGCCTCTGCTTTTATTCCCATATCCCTTTGGCTGGTAGATATGGACACTTGCATAGTGGGCCAGTCGCACATTGAGTGAGAGAACAGAATTACAAAATATTTGTTATTGCTATCATTGATATATGAAAGATCATACTGAGTGCACAACGCTCATGCATGTAGTGGGGTCTGGGAGAGGTAGGTGGTATTTAGCCTCAACCCCCTGTGGTGAGGTTGATTCTCTGTATTTGAATGTGCAGCATGTAACTCAGGCAATTCGAAACTTCTTATATATTTACACAAATTCGAAGTTCATTGTTCTCTTTCAGATAAAAAAGATGATGTTGAGTAAGCAGGCTTGAACGTAATACAGCTAAAGAGTTGAAACTGGCTGTATCTTCTACAATCAAATATTCAAACACATGAATAAGTGCTATAATTTTACGCTCTACAACATTATGTAGGATGGGAATCCAATGGGACCTACACAGAGTAGCACAACTCGAGATGCATCCTCAACTCCTAGTTCATTGGATCCAGCTGGAAACACATCCGCTCCAGTAAATGGTGCAGCTGTTCCAATTATGAATGGCAGCAGTCAACAATCTTCTGGTGATGGTGAGGGGAGAGGGAAGAAGATAATTTTGATCCAAGGCCGGGGGAAGGGAATTGGAGCAGTACCTAAAGGTAGAGGATCTGTAGCACCTGGTTGGACTGGAGCTGGGTTTGATGTTGATGGTAGATCTTGAGAGTATCACTTCGGAATCTCTCCACCGGATGAAATTATGGGAGGTGATACTTACGCTCTCCACCAGGTATATTGTTTATTCCATCATTTCTTCAATATTCATTCAATTGATGCATCCACATGTACTAATTCTAATTATATATACGAAGTTTATACAAAATTTGGCAGTTTGACAGTCGACATTTCTGAGTGCTCATGACTGTTTCGGTCTGTTGAAAATGTCATATTGCTTTCACTCAATGAAGAAATTGTTCATTGTGGACTTGTTTTGGTTTGTTCATTATGAACTTTGGTTGATGATTCAGTATGCATGGACAAAGCTATTTCATGTACCAATTTGAAATTGGAAACCATCATATTCAGGCTCCTATACCTGAATCATGATAGTTTTCACCCATTCTCAATACCTTTTGATTATATATTTTGCCCTTATTATTGTTAAGCTTGGTGGTTGTTGTCTGTCATATATCGGCTGTAATGATGAGAGTTTTATAACCACTTCATGTACACTTGCTCACATGGCATATTTAAAAGAATACTAAACTTGTTGCTTGGGGTATTTATATCATGGCAACACCAGTACTCCTTCCAGGCTGACCTCATCCATGAAACTGATGACCTTAGAACTGAATATCGTGCATTAACAATGATTAAGAATAAGGTAAGCTTCGTAGCTCCAATCAGGTGATAGGTAGTGCGAGGGACCATCTCTTGGCTCGTGAACTAAAGCATTGTGAAATTGATACGATGTGGATACACAGATTACAAAGCTTACAGGGATTTGAGTTGGTCAACCATACCATCCTCTTATACCGCTTTCCTCCTCCATCATTATGATTCAGAGGACTTAAACTAAACTTCCTCCATGTGCCCAAAATTGAATGCATGTCATCTACTCTTCCACATGCATGTGAATTCGCATTTACATTTTCCTAGCATTTGAATTTCCCGCTTAGTTTCTACCATTCTGTTTTTGCACCTAATGTTGTAGACTTCCACTACTATCTACCTGTTGGAAGTATGTTTGTAAATGGATCCGAATTTAATTAGTAGGATATAAATTGGTATTTGTTATCAATAATTCGAATAGGAATTAGTCTGTTTTGTCTTATTTCGTAGATTTGAATTTGGTTCTATGAGTGTCCGATCTAAATTTTTGATTGTGATATGATCTGGTCTGAATTTTTTTTCATGCAATATAAACTCGTCGGATAATGAAACCGAATTCAAATCAAAATTATAAAAATTGGATTTAAATATAGATATTGTTGACAAGTCAAAATGTAAATTTGGGGCACTGTCCAAGCAGTTGCAAGTTGCAATTGTAAAAAAAAAAAAAAGTTAAGTGGATTTAATATATTTATGTGATAGTATTACGTAATATGCGCATCCAATAAATTATCGTCACAAAATAATTTGTGGGACACATAAATTAACTTTTGAAAAAAAAAATTGACCAAGGTAATAGGTGATTGCCATTAATTGAGAATGTATAACATTTTATTGATATTGTACATCACATTAATTTTGAAAGATAGTTCAAGTAATAATAAGAATGAATCGTAAATTTAAACGTCTTAATTTTAAATTTTAGTAATATTTTATGAACGCTTTTTAGAATTAAGTTATAAAAAACTTATTTTTTATCCAAATAAAAATTTATTTTAATTTTGATACGAATTATTTGTCTATTGGTTAAACCAGACAGCTTTTTTGTCTTGAATCAGTACAAATCGCTAACTTTTAGGTATTGTCTTATTAGCACGTTCAAGCTCAACTTTCCATGACCTAGGAATCACAGCCTTGCGATTCTTCTTTGAATCACTTTATAAAAAGTGGACGTGACTTGTATTCCTAATGAGATGATTTTGATATCTCCTTTGGTTTATCTGAAGCCAAAAAATATAAAAATACACCAATCGAAAAAGGCAATAAGAAAAACATTATATTATTTAATTGTAGTTCTTCGATAAAAAATACCAAAATAAAAGTGAATATACACGAGAGAGTGAGAGAGAGAGAGAGAAGAATCTACTGTCCATGCTGGGTTTTTTTTTCTCTGAAAAAGAACAACCAATGAAACTCCACGTCTACCCCTATTTGACTTCTCTATTTACAAAAAAGGCCACCACCATGGATAAGTGGCTCAGATCCGAAGAATAGCATTCATCACCATCTTTACGGAAATAGCACACCATCAATCAAACGCTTCCATGGGCCATTTCATGCACCAGTGTGTCCACAATGTGATCTTCAATTTCTGATACTAAAACCTTAGCTTCCTCTTCAAGTGCAATTGAGTTCTGCAACTGGTTTCTGAACAAATCTTTGTCAATCAATGCATCAATGTCTTCTAGAACTCGGCAATCAGCCGAAGGAAAGCTTCTGATTCTTTCACACATTTTGTCAAACAGTTGTGACCCATCCATTCGACAATTTTCATGATAAACTGAAGCCATCCATGGCTTCAAATTGATATATGGCCTCAAAAACTCAGCTAGAAGCTCATCCACCAGTTCGAAGATAAGCTTCCTGTTGCACCGGTGACTCAATTTCGAGTGCTTGTTAGTGTTAATGGCGATGACATGGCACGGTTCGAGGTGGTAAAAAATTGAAGGGTCGAGGGGGTGGGNATATGCGCATCCAATAAATTATCGTCACAAAATAATTTGTGGGACACATAAATTAACTTTTGAAAAAAAAAATTGACCAAGGTAATAGGTGATTGCCATTAATTGAGAATGTATAACATTTTATTGATATTGTACATCACATTAATTTTGAAAGATAGTTCAAGTAATAATAAGAATGAATCGTAAATTTAAACGTCTTAATTTTAAATTTTAGTAATATTTTATGAACGCTTTTTAGAATTAAGTTATAAAAAACTTATTTTTTATCCAAATAAAAATTTATTTTAATTTTGATACGAATTATTTGTCTATTGGTTAAACCAGACAGCTTTTTTGTCTTGAATCAGTACAAATCGCTAACTTTTAGGTATTGTCTTATTAGCACGTTCAAGCTCAACTTTCCATGACCTAGGAATCACAGCCTTGCGATTCTTCTTTGAATCACTTTATAAAAAGTGGACGTGACTTGTATTCCTAATGAGATGATTTTGATATCTCCTTTGGTTTATCTGAAGCCAAAAAATATAAAAATACACCAATCGAAAAAGGCAATAAGAAAAACATTATATTATTTAATTGTAGTTCTTCGATAAAAAATACCAAAATAAAAGTGAATATACACGAGAGAGTGAGAGAGAGAGAGAGAAGAATCTACTGTCCATGCTGGGTTTTTTTTTCTCTGAAAAAGAACAACCAATGAAACTCCACGTCTACCCCTATTTGACTTCTCTATTTACAAAAAAGGCCACCACCATGGATAAGTGGCTCAGATCCGAAGAATAGCATTCATCACCATCTTTACGGAAATAGCACACCATCAATCAAACGCTTCCATGGGCCATTTCATGCACCAGTGTGTCCACAATGTGATCTTCAATTTCTGATACTAAAACCTTAGCTTCCTCTTCAAGTGCAATTGAGTTCTGCAACTGGTTTCTGAACAAATCTTTGTCAATCAATGCATCAATGTCTTCTAGAACTCGGCAATCAGCCGAAGGAAAGCTTCTGATTCTTTCACACATTTTGTCAAACAGTTGTGACCCATCCATTCGACAATTTTCATGATAAACTGAAGCCATCCATGGCTTCAAATTGATATATGGCCTCAAAAACTCAGCTAGAAGCTCATCCACCAGTTCGAAGATAAGCTTCCTGTTGCACCGGTGACTCAATTTCGAGTGCTTGTTAGTGTTAATGGCGATGACATGGCACGGTTCGAGGTGGTAAAAAATTGAAGGGTCGAGGGGGTGGGATTGGGAATACCATCTGTTGTAGGACATGGGGACTTGGGTGTCTCTGTTTATACCATTACGGTTTAGTATTCTTGTAATGTACTGAAATTCCACTTCACTGACAGTGGTGGCACCGTTGGAATTGCCATTGGCGTTGTTATCTTGGATGATGAGCATCTGTGTAGCTTCTTGCTCGTACGGATTGCTCGAACAACTATATAACTGTTTGCTCCTTTTCGATGAAAGAGGATCAGGTACCTGACACTGTTTTCCCACATGCAAAATACATTTACAACATGATAAGAAAAGAACAACAAAAATGCATATTGCTATCAACAACTTGTAAAATTAAATCAAAAAAAGAAAATGATAGAAGAGTTGTGGTACCTGTTTTTGATGTAATTTTGTAGGTGGAGGAGAAGGGTATTTCTTTACTGGAAAAAAGGTTGGGCCATTGTTGTTGAGAAGCTCATTTGAAAATGTAGTCTTCCTGCATTTTTTGTCTAAGAGGGTTGCTTTAGCAGCTGTCGATGAACGGAAAAATGTCTCCTCTTTCTTGTTTCTAAGAGGGTTGTTTGCAACCTTCTTGCATTTTTGAACTGCATTTTGCTGTTGGGTTTGTTGCTCTGGCAATGGTAGCCGAGAATTTGGTCTTGATGAAGATTTAACGGGTTGGGGCTGATAATCAACATATAATGATAATGGTGATGATGTGAGCATCGAAGTGTGACAATTCTGATTCTTACTGACTGATGGTGTAACTGGTTTGGCCTTCGATTCGGAGAACCTGAGCCTGGGTGAGCAAGAAGGCGTTGATTGCTTGCTCCGGCTCAATTCATCATCATCTCTCGCCAATCCATTGGATGGTTTCTTTGATTTTACTAGAACAACATGATCCTCTCTTCCTTGCTCTCTGTTTTTGATGGTATTGGTTAGGTCTAACCCAAATTTACTGCTACCATTCTCTTTCACTTGCTTCCCAATCTGTCTAGCACAGTGGCCTGGTCTTCTATTCTCATGATCTTCTAGTCTCGGATCTCTTCTTCTAGCGGACTTTCTTGCTGAATAATTAGTACATTCGAACTCTTGGCCCACAGCAAAGTTCTCTCTGTTAAGTTGAAGCGAAAACCGATGATGATCAACGTCGGATCTTCTGGCCGACGATATTCTTGGTGTCTCTGGCAATGAACGGGTGACTATAGAATCATTGTCCAAGAAATTTCTACTGCCTGTAGCTCTGCCGTGAAACAATTTTTGAGAGTGGAGCGCTTGTTTTAGACTCTGTATTTGAGGATGTAAATTTGACTTGAAGAAAGGATTTGAAGCTGAATGGGTTGAGGAGGACAAAGAGGGAGAGGTGCTTTCAGGAAGAAGATCAAGCCCCATTAATCTAGCTACTAGATTTGGGGTCTTTGCTCCCGGGGAGCTGCTACATTCTGAAAACAAATCCTCTGTTCTTGTTGCTTTTGAAGTAGATGCTCTTGGCGATCTTCTTGTGTCACCTTTTGTTTTGATTTTATAAATACCCACCTGGAATTACAAAATCCATTAAAAGGTTAAGGAACCAACACCATCATAACTATCATTATTATTCACTTTACAAGTAAAGAATCTTTAATACTATTGCCAAACAGAATGGAGAGAGAGAGATGATATTACAACATGAAAGATATAAATGATTACACATTTACTTTGATATTCAATCTTTCTTCCATGGACGGCTCCTCCAACTCTAAGCAGTTCCTTGGTGCTTCTACACCTGCACTACACAAAACCCATCATTGAACATATGTGTGTTTGTGAGAGAGAGAGAGAGAGAGAGAGAGAGAGAGAGAGAGAACCTTTGAGGACGACCGTGGGTTCTTCAGGGAGGAAAGGGTCAGGCTTGAAAGAGGGTTGCTGGTGTAAAGCGAAGAGAAAGTGATGCAAATCAAAGAGTTGAAGGAGAGTACTCGTGCAGCCAGAAGGTGTAGTATCTGTTTCTCCTCCTGATCTTCCTCTCTTCGTGGATCTACTACCACCACCACTACCCAAGTAAAACCAATCTTTGCCCATAACTGAGAGTTTTTCCTCTACTTCTCTATGGAGTATGGAGAGAAGAAAGAAGCTTAAAAGGTTTCCAACAGTTGAAGAATCAGAACGAAAATGACAGAAGCAGAAGTATTAAAGAGTCCTTGACCACTTAGAGAAGAGAGTGAGGTTTGAAGAAGACAAAGCTAAAAAGCTAAAGACCGCTGATATTAAGGAAGCGAAAAAAGCGGATCCACGAAGAATAACAGGTGTTGCTGTCTCTCTCTCCCTATCTTAAAAGGTGTCTCTCACTCACTCCCAAGTTTTACCAGCCGAGGACCAGAGAATCTACTGTTCTCTGTTTTATCTCCTTCTCTCTCCCTTAATTTTAACAGGTGTTGCTCGCACACCCCCAAGTTTTACCAGCCAAAGACCAGATCTGTTTTAGTCTCCCCCCCCCTCTCTCTCTCAAACATTGGGAATTTAAATTGTAAGAAATGCAGGAGATGACGATATGACCTCTCTCTCCCCCCCCCCCCTCCCCCCCCCAAAAAAAAAAAAAAAAAATTATGATGCAATATCCACTGCCCACTGGGTTTTTAAATAGGAGGTGGTGTTTATTGGGGATATGCAATGTAACCTATTGTTTTGAAATATGACCTATTTGTTCTGTATCACTGAATAACGTTAACTGTGTTTATTGTGGGTCTGCAAGGTGTTTGGCTGTACGGTAGCAAACTCCTAACTCATCAAGTATTAATAAAAAGAGCAATTTTATTTGAATTTAAAATTTTGACATAATTTATTGACTTAATATTGTGATTTCAATGGAATCATTGAATTAACACTAAATTTTAATATTTGATGGGATTCACAGTCAATCCAAAGTTATAATGAATTAGATTAGTAAATTAGATCAATAAATTACGTCATAATAACATTATTTTTATAAAATGCTCCATCTAATATATGATACTTTGTAAGTTTCAAGTTAAAGAGGTTGATATTCGTGTCCAATATTAATGTACTTAGAAGGATGAGTAGGTGGAGGTAATGAATACTCTCACACTAACCAAAATGCCTATTTAAGACTAAGTTATTGTGTGTATTGTAGGGATAAGTGATGAACGTATTTATAGCACAAGTGTTCGAACAAGTAGAGCTATCCATACCTATCTTTGTAGAGGGGTCCCTGTCATATGTGACTATTGTGTCTACTTGTAATTACTTTGATCGTAATTATACTGATGACCGCTCATCAAGTGTTAATTGAGCATTAATTAAGTAGATATGACGTTTCCACGATTACAGCCTGAACTTGACCATTGAAAAAAGGATACATCCTCCAAGGCAAGGGATGACACCTGAGGTGGAGAGTCACGACTACCCACCGTGAGAGGGTTATGTTCGTGGTGCCCCCAGTGCATGCAGTCCTAGGGTCCTTCCTTCCCTTTGGAAACTCTGTCAAGGTGCTCAATCAAGAATACTCACGTAGTTTTAATTTGTTAGTCACCAATCCTCACTTCTCATTATCCTGTATGTTGATTTAGACCGATAATCACTTGTACTTTAGGAGTCTATCTAGATTCCAGTCAAGCCATACACTATAAAGTCTACTCAAGCAAATTAAACTTTCAAGACCTTGTCAAAGGCCAGAGTTGACAATTATGTCCATTCGCCTTCGTTACCCAATTTTCTCTCGAGGAGGGCCATAATAATACCCCGTCCCAAGGTAAAGACTCCCTCACTTAGTCCCTTGGGCTAGTTAAACAACGGTACACTATTAGTTGACTTTATCACTGTGGACATCTAAGGTGTTTCAAGTTCTCTCTAATTAAGGCGCCTTATTTTGAGGGTACCCCTTGAGGACTTCTCCAGGGATGTCATTCTTGCCAATCCAGCAATACACCTTTACTTCCACAATGGGGGAAGGCATCTCGCGCCAAGGTTGCCCAAGTTTCTGCGGTGCCATTTCTACCCCTCTAGGGTAAGGATCCATTTTGTCGTTTCCATTGGGATGAGGGTGTGTCCCACCCTCTCGCAGTACTTAAACACTTCCGCAGCCCATGTCACTTATGGGATGGACCCATCTTGCCATGTCAGCTCGTGACTTTTTCGAGGTCTGTCATTTGTGTTTCTATAATATGTACATCTATCTTGATTTTATAGGCTACTACACTTGTGAATTATGATAATATTAGTCACCCCCTTCAATTTTAGATAGTATTGAGGAGATATTCCTTAGTGAGTGATTTCTTTATTAGGCTTGTTTGGAATTTGTCAGTTGCCATTTTTGGTAGATTACTAGTAGGGTTTGTAAGGACGTGTTTGGGAATCACTAATTGTGTGTGATTTGAGGAATTACTAGGGCTGTGTAATACGCTAGCTTTCTAGTCTGGATAAAGTGTGCGTGGAGGAATTCTTATTTATCTTGGCCTCTGTTCGAGGGGAGAGGGAATTTACGTAGTTGTTAGGTTTATTCTTGTAGAGATAGAGAGAGACTTAAGCCCATAGACCAATTGACTTTTGGTCAGATGATATTTCTTGTCTTGTGAATGCTTTGTCTTATTGAGGTTAAAGATTCACGTCCTCCTCTCCTCTCCTCTCCTTTCCTTTCTTAAAAAAAAAAAAAGTAAAAAAAAAAAAAACCCCATGGGGTTATTTCCAATATTTATTGCTAAACTCAAATTAGAATCTTACTAGTGTGTTTGGTTAAGGTACAACAAGAATTAGAGTAGACATCGGACTCATCAATAAAAGAAATATCATGTAACCTAAATTTACATTCCAAATAAATGGAGATCATTAGATGAGTGAATTTTATCAATTTTTTTAATTAAAACATATTGATTCAACCATCTTGATTTGAAATGTACATTTAAAATACAAATTTGAGATGTATAATATCGATTCATCGATAAAAAATATATAATCATTATCCTTAAAGAGTAAAAACTCAAGAATTGGAGTAGGCATCAGAAGAAAAACTCATTGATAAAAGTATGTAATCATTATCCTAGAGAGTAAATTGTACCTTTTGAAGCACATTACAAAGGACGGCTACTTCGATAGTATACACCTCCCAAAGTTTTCAACTATGGCTTCTCTCTAGACTTGCACTGACAAAAAATAGTTGCATGAAGAATAACTCTAATAGGTGGAGAGAAAAAGTAATTGAATATTACTAGCAAAACCTAAAATTCTCACTTGATGATTTCACTATAAAAGCCCAGCAATATAATAACACCATTGCTATACGATGACAATTGTCATATCAATAGATCAAGTTGGCTAGTATTCCAAGAAAATTTCCTTGAAGTGTCTTTCTTTTTTTCAGAAAATAAATAAATTCTATTTTATTAAAAGACATACATAAACATGTGTTGGGGGTGAGACATCCTTACAAAATAAAATAAGTATCACCTATTGAAACTTTGCAACATATACAAAGAGCTGAGAGCTCATATGATGCAGGAATTTGTAGGAACTAAAGGCCTTGAACCAATACTTTCCTCGGAATTCTGTGTCAATAGAGCTATGGACATAACGTCTCTATAAACTCAGCTCAATTTTATTTTAACGAAAAATTGACTACACAAATCGTGATCCACCATTTTGAGAACGGGGGTATAGACATATCAATTAAAAGAGAGAAGCGAAGGGGTGCAGGAGTACGTGTTACACACATTTATCTTACTATTACATGCCCAAATCCAAAATAATTGATAAATACTGCTATATATCTGTTGAAAAATAGAACTTATATATATACTAGGAGTACATGAAAACTAGAAAATTAATTTGATGAGGAACCTCTACAACCACTGCTATGAACAACGCATTCAGGCAAGCCAATGAACAATTCTGTCTCCACCTCGCAGCTCTGACTAAGTTGGCTGCATGGTACACTTCCCTTTTGTTTTGCTGGTGACTGCCATGGCTTCACTCCACGCTAAGCATCATAGGTGTAACAGTTAATATCAACAACATAGTCATCAAAATATAGTATATCGATATGGATAAGAGAACTTGGTTTCTTACAATTATACTGTCGGGCGTTGTCCTTGCATAAAAACAAATGGCCCCAGTGTATAGGGTTTCCGTCTCTAGAATAGATATATGCCATGCAATCTCGTGCTCATTTTAGAAAAACTAGTTCTTACTTCTTATGCTCGAATTCACCCGTCTCTAGAATAGATATATGACATGTAGTCTCTTGCTCATTTTGGAAAAACTTTTTCTTACTTCTTATGCTCGAATTCATGACAAATCATTTGTATTTGCTCAAGGTTCACTACTTATATTAAATTCATGTAATATTTGAATTCAAAAGCAAATTGGTACTTTGGCCCATTTATTAATATCAGTGAAATTTCCAGTGAAAAAAAAGATTGATTTTCAGTTTGAATCGCGACGTATTAATTGAATGAAAAATAATTACCTTTTCACATAGCCTAGCATTTTCTTCTAGCAGATTTCTCTCCTGTATTTGACAAGGAAAAAAGAGAGGCTACATATTAATGAAACACTTTAAAAATACATAAGAAAACTAGCATTCGTGTTGAAGTATCATGACATTGCACACCTTTTCTTTTAGTTGTTTCATTTCCTCCTTGAACAATTGAGCCTGTAAATTAAAAAAGATTGATTTTCAGTTTGAATCGCGACGTATTAATTGAATGAAAAATAATTACCTTTTCACATAGCCTAGCATTTTCTTCTAGCAGATTTCTCTCCTGTATTTGACAAGGAAAAAAGAGAGGCTACATATTAATGAAACACTTTAAAAATACATAAGAAAACTAGCATTCGTGTTGAAGTATCATGACATTGCACACCTTTTCTTTTAGTTGTTTCATTTCCTCCTTGAACAATTGAGCCTGTAAATTAAAAAAGATTGATTTTCAGTTTGAATCGCGACGTATTAATTGAATGAAAAATAATTACCTTTTCACATAGCCTAGCATTTTCTTCTAGCAGATTTCTCTCCTGTATTTGACAAGGAAAAAAGAGAGGCTACATATTAATGAAACACTTTAAAAATACATAAGAAAACTAGCATTCGTGTTGAAGTATCATGACATTGCACACCTTTTCTTTTAGTTGTTTCATTTCCTCCTTGAACAATTGAGCCTGTAAATTAAAAAAGATTGATTTTCAGTTTGAATCGCGACGTATTAATTGAATGAAAAATAATTACCTTTTCACATAGCCTAGCATTTTCTTCTAGCAGATTTCTCTCCTGTATTTGACAAGGAAAAAAGAGAGGCTACATATTAATGAAACACTTTAAAAATACATAAGAAAACTAGCATTCGTGTTGAAGTATCATGACATTGCACACCTTTTCTTTTAGTTGTTTCATTTCCTCCTTGAACAATTGAGCCTGTAAATTAAAAAAGATTGATTTTCAGTTTGAATCGCGACGTATTAATTGAATGAAAAATAATTACCTTTTCACATAGCCTAGCATTTTCTTCTAGCAGATTTCTCTCCTGTATTTGACAAGGAAAAAAGAGAGGCTACATATTAATGAAACACTTTAAAAATACATAAGAAAACTAGCATTCGTGTTGAAGTATCATGACATTGCACACCTTTTCTTTTAGTTGTTTCATTTCCTCCTTGAACAATTGAGCCTGTAAATTAAAAAAGATTGATTTTCAGTTTGAATCGCGACGTATTAATTGAATGAAAAATAATTACCTTTTCACATAGCCTAGCATTTTCTTCTAGCAGATTTCTCTCCTGTATTTGACAAGGAAAAAAGAGAGGCTACATATTAATGAAACACTTTAAAAATACATAAGAAAACTAGCATTCGTGTTGAAGTATCATGACATTGCACACCTTTTCTTTTAGTTGTTTCATTTCCTCCTTGAACAATTGAGCCTGTAAATTAAAAAAGATTGATTTTCAGTTTGAATCGCGACGTATTAATTGAATGAAAAATAATTACCTTTTCACATAGCCTAGCATTTTCTTCTAGCAGATTTCTCTCCTGTATTTGACAAGGAAAAAAGAGAGGCTACATATTAATGAAACACTTTAAAAATACATAAGAAAACTAGCATTCGTGTTGAAGTATCATGACATTGCACACCTTTTCTTTTAGTTGTTTCATTTCCTCCTTGAACAATTGAGCCTGTAAATTAAAAAAGATTGATTTTCAGTTTGAATCGCGACGTATTAATTGAATGAAAAATAATTACCTTTTCACATAGCCTAGCATTTTCTTCTAGCAGATTTCTCTCCTGTATTTGACAAGGAAAAAAGAGAGGCTACATATTAATGAAACACTTTAAAAATACATAAGAAAACTAGCATTCGCGTTGAAATATCATGACATTGCACACCTTTTCTTTTAGTTGTTTCATTTCCTCCTTGAACAATTGAGCCTGTAAATTAAAGCAAAATCAAGTTTGTCAAATTTTAATTGATTTTGATCTTTTTTTCGTTAGTGACGGAGAGAATGAGAGGAGAAAAATAACCATAACTCAATTAATCTTTCAATCCAATAGTAATTTCATTTTTCTATTTTTTATCTTTTTTTTCTTAGTTTAATGGTTTGGGGCGGGCAGCTTACGCACACCTTGATTCATGACTTAGTTTCAAAGGGTTACTAAGATTTAAACTTAAGATTTTTAGAATTATAATTCGTCCTTATTACTATTTGAACTACACTGAAATTTTTTCCTATTTTTTATCTGCACAAATGAATGTTTCCACCTTCACTACGATTTAGTATACCTTTCTTGCCCTGATGGTTTTTAAGCTTCGCTCCAGCTGGTTGCCTATCTCTTGAAGTTCATCTACTGAACACGACTCCAAGCCTTGCCCCAAAAGCTTCCTAGCACATTCCAAATTTCATGTTCAATTGAAAAAAACCCTAGAATTTAACAGTTTTCAAGTAACAAAAAGCTTTCGGAAGGAAAAATAACAAGAACCGTTGAGAAACTTCAAGGTGCTGTTTCCTCTTCACCATCTTTTCCGTTTCAT